TGTGACACCTCGGACTCGAATCCAGGTCGGGTACGGGTTGGGGGTGTTATAGTTTCTCCTTTCCAAAGATCAGATCAGAAAAGAAGTTAATAATATGTATTTTATAATACTCATAATGGTTGGCATGTAAACAAAGATTTAAATCCGATATGTTTTAATCGGTTTTGTAAAATCATATGATTGGTTTTGTAATGTTTTAAATATGTATATGTAGATGGTAATTTTCTACGGATGAAAACTTAGGTTTTTTTTATGAAGTTATACGTATTTTATGGAAATACTGTAGCAATACTATAGTAGTACTATAGCGAGGTATCGGTTCCCTATAGCATATCGGTTCCCTATAGCATATCGGTTCCCTGTAGCAGGGGAATCGGTTCCCCTGTGACAATCTGGAAAATTTTAACATTCTGGCACTGTAGCAGTACTGTTTATGGTACTGTTCATAAATACGTTTTGCCTCAAAATTTTATAACAAATACAATTGAACAATATATGATCGTATTTTCTTAATATAAGTTCAAATGTTTTGTTATTTTGCAAGAGTAAAGGTTTTGAAATGTCAATATAACATCTCTGACTCGTATCCGGGTCGGATATGATTTGAGGTGTTACAGAACCAAGTCCACAACTAGGTAAAGACAGTTTTCAGAGAAGTGAATGGTCCAATGCTCTGTAAAATGTTAGTGTTGAGAGTAGATCCACCAAAAAATATCTTCTCCACATTGGTTGACATGTTTAATCCTAATCAATTCAGAACACCAACAACACACTCATCCCTACTATCCTAAGAAACCACACCCAAATGCTAGTTTGATTTGCTTATTACCAATAAATAAATTATGAAAAATGTTATTCACTCTCTTGTACTGATTAAAGTTGAAACAGCGTGAGCATCATCATCCTTTATCATCAACCTTGATCAAATGAGGTCCCTCAGTTAACATTTGTGTGGCTTCGTTTAGTCAGATAGGGACAGAAGGCTAAAATTGGTGGCTCTGACTAATTTAGTAATTTATGCTTGCATTCACCGGTGTGTGGTGCATGTGTCTCCCTAAAAATTTCCTTTATATCAGAATTAATTCAAGCTCAACTCAAGATAAGGGAAGGAAGAAAGGAGTGCATGGTTTATTAGTAACCAAAGGAGAGTCATGGGCAAACACGTGAAAACTAACTATAATTGATTGTGCGAATATATATAGCGACAAACACGTGAAAGCATACACTGTCGAACCAAAATTTGGTGTTCTGGGCATTCTGAATATCAACACTTTACTGGTCTTTTCCTTCTAGACTTTGCAATTATAATGTTTACAGAAGACAGTCATGGGTCATCCACCACATATCTCTCACCTTGTACCACAAAATCTAATCCAAATGTGTAAAATTTAACCCAATTATTTGTTGGGGACGTTTTATTCGCATAGAAAATTATTACCAAGAAAAATATTCTTTTTACAGAATCATATATTCACTAGCATTTTTTTGTTTTCCCGATAACGCCGTTCCTTTTTATTTGTTTTGAACAAGAATATCCCTAAAATAAGAGAGTTATTTCAAAAAAATTATTCTTTTTGTACATAATTACCGGGGAACGGAACTATTATATTTATGGGAGGGGCTGTGGCCCCCAACCAGACAAAAAAAATACATTAAATTTATATATAAAATTTAAATATTTATGAGATAATTATGAGTTGTCCCTTAGTTTTAAAAAAGTTATAACTTGCCTTTCCCGAGTTGGAATCTTGATTCTATCCCTGATAATTATATTTTTATAAATATATATATTTTAAAATTCCTTAGTACTTATAAATAGCCACATACTTATACCGATATAAATACATACATTTTATATTTTTTTTATACCTATAAGCAAACACATACTCACATCGGTTCACGGAACTGTGAACCATTACTTCATCATCTTTGATCAAATGGGTCACTTTTTTATACTTGTGTTCTTATGGTGCATGTCTTACTTATTTTCATCGTGGTGGGAGTGCATACTGATAATGTAAAGTAATCTAAATCTTATAAAATTCTAAATGAACTAAAATATTATATCAATATAGATATAAGGAGAATATTTAAAATACATGCTAATTTAAAATTTTTGTAGAAGCGTTGATCAGCCTCCGCCGGTTCCATGGCCTGCACCTGCCCCTACTTACAATACACCTACTTGCACCGTTTAATTTGGGGTTTGGAAATCTTGACCATGACATTGAACTTTGAAATTTGATAGACAGCTAGCATACTTGTATGATGTTCAAAGCTGCAGAAAAAAGTGGGTTCCTGGAAAATTATATGGGTCGAAATTTCTTAAGAAAGGACCATTCTATAAATAAAAGGCTTAAATATACAATATGTGCTCAATCTATGTTCGTTTTTCTAGTTTAGTGCCTAACGTTTATTTTGTTTCAATTTGGTGCCTAACGTTTCATTCCGTTACTCAAAATGGGTCAAGCCGTGACGTAATGTTAATTTCCTCTATTAAGTGACATGTGTCACAATATGATAATTTTAAAATTTTTATATAAAATTAAAAAATATAATTATATATTTTTTAAAAATAAAACACATAAATTTCAAAATAACCCAAAACTTTGAAACCCTTCATTTCAACCCCTAAACCCACGCCGAACGCCGCCCTTTGCCGTCGACGAAGCTACACCCTACCTCACCTCCCCCAACGACCAAAACCCCTATGAAATCGTGACTGATCAATGGTCGATCGACGACGAATCGACGTTTTATACCCTGTGAACCCTAGGATGAAAATCGCAATCCCAAGCGATTTCGACGGCCAATTGGCGACAATTACGACGACTTATAACTATGATGATGACAAGGACTACGTTGGCGGTGATGTTTGTGGCCAGAAAGGGCAGCAACAATGGGTTAGTGTTAGGATTTTGGGATTTTAAGGATTTTGAGGTTTTTTTGTAATTTAAAAGAAATAAGGGTTTCTTTTATCAATATAAATATTTTTAATATTTTAAAAAATTAAAATTTACGAGATTATGACATGTGTCACTTAAGGGAGAAAATTAACAGTCCGTCACGGCTTGATCCATTTTGAGTAATGGAATGAAACGTTAGGCACTAAAATATAACAAAATAAACGTTAGGTACTATACTAGAAAAACGAGCATAGCTTGGACACCTTTTATATACTTAAACCTAAATAAAATGGTCAAATTACTCTATTAGTACTTATATTATTACGTAAATTGTGGATATATTCTATATACTCTAGTTTGATTGTTTTTAGTTCCATTATTTTTTAAATTTTGAAAATCTGATACGGACTCAAACAATAGTCGTAAAATACGTTAAGTCGAATTTTATTATAAATCCATTTTTAATGCATAAATTATAGGTTTAATTTTCATTTTTCAAATTAAATCATTTTATATTTTTATAATTCAATTATGTTTTCCTTATATTATTTGAGTTAGGACTAAAACTTCAAAATTTTAAAAAAAGTATAAGAATTATAACGTGTCTCATCTTTGATAATTTTATGTTGAAAGTAAGATAATTATTTGTTTTGTACTTTACTTTCCAATTAAATAAAAAATATTTGAAATATATTATGAAAATGAGTTTCTACCTTACAGTTAACTTATAGAAAATGTTAGGTTTGTAGGGGGAAATAAGGTCTTCTTTTTTACTTGATTTTATACGCAAGATTCATACTTAGCTTTATAATATTTTTCTAGTTGCTGTTGAGATTAGATAATTGTGTGAAACGAGATCTTGTTTCTATATAATTTTTTAACAATGACAAATGTATTTCATCAATAAAATTTATGAAAGTAATCAAAATTACAATGCACTAAACAATAGAAAGGAAATGAGGACGATAATCACAAAAAAAGAAAAGAAAAGCATCGTATATAAAACAAAAATATTAAACTTAAAGATACAAAAACATAAAACATTCTCTTGAAAAAGACATCCAACATCAAAATAACCCAATAAAATTCATAAAACTCTTTGTATTTGTCGAACGAGATGCTTTACGAAGTGATAAAGGAGTAGTGAACGAATTAATCAGTTTGGCAGGTTGCTTCGCTACACAATTCTGATTATATCAGCAAAATATCTTTTACCAAAGAGGAGATCTAACAATCCGTGACCATCAACAAATCAATCGGAAAATAAATATCATAAGGGTCTTCGTTTGAGCACCAACATGATCGCAGAGGTATGCAAAAGATGTGCAAAAAACAATAAGACATGTGCCACAAGAGCAAAAAAAAAAGTGTCACAAGAGCAAATAAAAGTGTGTCACAAGAACAGATAAAAGTGTGTCACAAGAACAAATATTCTTATTTAAATTTGAAAAAAAACTCAAGAAAAAAAAGAAAATAAAGGACATAATATAAAAAACAAAAAAAATAATAATAATAGATGATTAACAATTAATATTAAGATTTACGTAACTGTCAATTAAATAAAAATTAAAAAAAGAAAGGAATGCGACACAAAAATATTAAGAGAAATTTTAGGTTAGAAAAAAGAAAAAAGTTTCTATATAATTTATATGTACTTTTTGTGATCTTTATATTTATGATAAATTATTGTATTTTTTCTTCATGAAGGTGAACAAGGTTGAACCATATTAAATATCAACTTTTGTACATGTCTTTTATCATGTCGATCTTAATCAATTATATTTATTTTTACTTATAAATTCCTAATAACCTTATATAAAATCTTAAAAAAATATATTTATAATTTTTTAATAATTTTTTAATTTTATGTTTTAACGATTTTATGGAATTTACAAATTTTAAAATAAATTTAGAATGATTATTAATTATAATCTTAGGAAAAACATAAATTCTAAATAAAATGTAGACACTAATTTTAGTCTGGCCCAAGATATTTTTCCAAACTTGAGCCTGAGCCAAACCCAGCCCAAAATAGCCTGAATTAGACCCAACGTCTAAAACCCAAAACTCTACATGATATTATATTTAGTTCCCTTTCTCTTATTCGCTGATCGGTGGGAGGAAAATGGCGGTAGCTTTGCAAGAACCAGGTTAGTCTCACGTCCTTTTCTTCTATTGTTTCTTTGTTTTCTTCTTTCTTAGTTTGAAGATTGATTTCCCCCCATAAAAACTCTTGCGTTATTAACTAAAAGAACGAATCTTGTAGTGAATGGATCAGTAGTTCATTGTGAAAGCATCCAGTTTTCACTTATGGGAATTTCATTTTTTTCCCATTATATCCGACACCCATGTTCAATTCACGTTCAAATTTGGGATCCTTTCAAATATATGAAAAAGCTTTTAAACTCATGTCCCTACCGAACATTTGCATCGAAATTTGACTAATATAGGTTGCCTGATAATTGGTTGGGACTATGTACACTGGTTCTTGATTTCAGCTTGTTAGTGCCTTAGAGATGCCTCAATTCAGTTCTTTCGAGCACCGTTTGCAGTCATGCAACCCCAGTCAAATATAGGTGTAATCGAATTGAGGTTGAGTTTAAGCTGTAAGAAGCTCGAGCTTGATTCAAAATTAGAGGCTCTAAGCTTGGCCTGAGCTTGATTGGGTTTCACTTTTAAAGTTTGAGCTAGATTCGAGTTGCTTGAGCTCAGTTGTTTAAGCTCTGTTTACCTAGTAAAAGATGAAATCTATTATCATGCTTGGCTTGGAACTTAGTTATTTACACTCAAGCTTAAGTTCAAATTCCGATCTTTCACAACTAACTAAAAAGAACACTTGGTTAGGCTCGTGAGCTACTTAAGTATTAGGATGTTCTATTCCAGCTCACTTGATGTGCTTGAACTTCTTTATTTTTGAAGAGTCTAATATAAGTATATTCATATTCTAGAATAATTTTCATCTATGTTTGAATATGCTTCGAATGTAAATATTTTAAGAGAATTGAAATATCCGAGCAATATACAGCCTTTCGATTATAACTCAGTACTAAATCATTTATTTATTTATTTTGTTGAACTGTATGGTTCAGGCATCAATTCTTGGAAGCTAAATTTCACTTTCAAGTAGGTTTTAGTGTTCATTTCCTTTACACCAAGCCTTTACATCTCGGGTGAGTTTCAACATAAAACATCAACTGGATTCAGATGCCTTGATAGAAATGAACCATAACGAAAAGTACTAGTTAAGTGTAGGCAAGAAAAACAAAAAATGGCGAGCTATCTTTGGAGAAAATATGCAGATTATGTTTACAGCAAATGGGAAAGAACACTTCTCTGGGACATGTTAGAGCCTTATCGAAGACCCAAATCTTTTACGCCTCTTGTTACCATTTATATTGCAGCTTTTTACACCGGCGTCGTTGGTGCTGCCGTTACTGAGCAACTCTACAAGGTTTTTCCTTTCCACTATTTCCCTGGATTTGCTTGCATTATTATGGTGAAGGGCTTACTTCTCTTTTTCTTTAGTGTCAGGATTATACGTTTTGTTAAATGAGTTTATTATGGCATCTAAAAAGCTCGGGATTTGTATTCATACACGTAAAATGGAAATCACAGTTTGAAACTGTGAACTGCTTATGAATTGTTGATCAGACAAGTAGAACTGAGAACTGACAGGCTGCATAGTCCATAATGATATTTCAACCAGGGAGGCTTTGGACAGGCTTTAAACCAGTTCCATTTCAATTTTCTGAACATGCAACATGATCTATATTATTCATCCAATTCATGAATGAAGTGCGGAACATATGACACAAGCGAATATCAGTTCATTTGTTTTTAAACTTGTTTTACCAGGCATATTGTAGAAGCTCATTGAATCCATGGTGTTTTTGATCAGGAAAAGTACTGGGAAGATCATCCTGGGGAAGCGGTTCCACTCGTGAAGCCTAAGTTCTATGGTGGACCTTGGAAGGTGCTCAAAGGTGATGTCCTCCCACCCAATGAGTGAAAGAGAGAAGATCTAGTCGAGGAAAACGTTGCTCGGACTCTTCATTTTTCTTTAGGTATTCAACTATATGGGTATAGAGATATGATTGTCCATTTCATATCCATCGATCACACTCGATTCGAGTAACTAGGCTTAGGATCCATATGGAAAACAGTTGTTTCTGGCATCAGATTTACATGGGAAAAGCCCTATTGTTTCCATGTGAAGACGATACCAATTCATGTAAAAAAAAATCATCATTTTACTCGTGTTTCATCAGATTTGAAATTCGAGATTCTCGAATTTGGTTCGAGAAAGTTTGGATATTCAAATCTAATATAATTCGAGTGAGCTTTAATCCAATTCAAAATTTGGTTCACATGTCTTAAATGGCTTGATTCAACTTGATATTTATGGAGTCCAGTTTTAATTATTTCTTAATCAAAATTAAATGTAAACACAATTCCCGTTTAATTCTCCTTCTTGAGGTATCACATTTTTAAATAAAATAATTATAATTTATTTTACAATATATTTTAAATTTTCTTTTTATTCCGTCAATAAAATATAGGGTAAATTACGCTGAAATTACTAAGGTATTGTTTTGATTCTATTTTGATTTTGAGCATTAAGTTAAAAAATTTCAATTAAGTCATTAAACTTTTAATTTTGTTCAATGAAGCCACCAATTATTAATCTTTTTTTTTTGCAACCAACTATTAATCTTTAATTGAATGATTGATGTGACAAATAAATTTATATATTAACACATTTGATCTTTTTTATTTATATATCATATCAATTTGGTCATAATTAGAATAATAACATATTTGGTCCTCGTTGTTTACACATTTTATCAATTTATCTTAATATATTAAATTATTTTTAATTAAAATTAAAATCAAATCGATAAAATATGTAAATAATGAAGATGAAAAGTGTTAATATATATATTTTCCTAACTATCAAGTAAATAATTTCATTAATAATTAATGGTCGGTGGTTCGGTTGAAATCAAATTAACGTTTACTTGAGCAGAATAGAAGACTGGAAATAAACCCGGTCCGGTCTTTCCACCAAGAACGCTCAAAAGTAATGAATCCCGGGCCCTCCTCTTTTCCCTTCTTTTTTGCTTCCTTTCAATCCCTACAATGATTCAGAGCATATATTTCCAGTCTTATCTTCTGCTCAAGTAAACCCGCTATAATCATAACCCATGTTTTGTTTTGCATGAAACCTTACTTTCTTTTCACAGCTTTCACGAGTTTGCTTAATCGTCAGTGAGCTAAACCACAAACTCAGAATTTGATAAAAAAACCCGAAGAGAGAAGATGAGCACGGTGGATAAAATGCTGATAAAAGGAATCCGGAGCTTCGACCCGAAAAAAAAACGTCATCACTTTCTTTAAACCCCTAACCCTAATCGTTGGACACAATGGCGCTGGCAAAACTGTAATCATTCCTCACTCCGTTTTTCTTTTTAATCTATTGCTTCTCTGTACACGTATATTTAATGGTTTTTTTTGGGTGGGTGGGGGTTGCAGACAATTATAGAGTGTTTGAAGCTTTCTTGCACTGGAGAGTTGCCTCCAAATGCAAGGTCCGGCCATAGTTTCATTCATGATCCCAAGGTACCTTTCTTCACCTGGATTAAAAGCAAATAATTGTAGGTAGAGAAATGCACGGTTTGGCTTTCAGGTTGAGAAATATGTTCCATTATGTTGAGCATCAGAGATTTGCTCATCTACAGTGAAGTTTGATTTTGCTTTGTTCATCTTTTAGGAAATGAAATGTAAATAGTGAAAGAACATGTAGCAATCAATTTGAGTATGAGGAAACTATGTTCAGCATTTTAAACTTGTAATTTAAATACTTGGATGGGATCATTTATTATAGGGGTGTGTATACTTTGTATGTAGGTTGCAGGGGAGACGGAGACAAAAGGTCAAATTAAGCTCCGGTTTAAGACAGCAGCGGGAAAAGATGTGGTCTGTATAAGGTCATTCCAATTGACGCTAAAGGCTTCTAAGATGGAGTATAAAGCAATCGAGAGTGTTCTTCAGACGCTAAATTCTCACACTGGAGAGGTTATACATATACAAAACATTCTTTTAACTCGTTTCTAATAAATTATACTTTGGTTTTACTTTGTTTCTTTAATTTTTTTTTTGATAGGAATAGGAGGCCTCATTAAAAACCTCCCTCTTAGTTGGCTCTTGTGAAAGAGGCAACTAGCGGAAGGAGGAAAAGAGTACCTCATTTTATTAATAACCCATAATTACATAAGATACAACTTACATAATAAACTTCCCTAGATAAAATACATAACACTACAACAACAGAACACAACACCTCAACCAATCCCCTCTTTTGCTAACTTGTCTGCTTCCCAATTACAACTCCTTGGAATCCAATTAATAATAAAACCCCTAGCAGATACATAGGCCCCAATTTCCTCAACCAAAGAGCTACAAAACGTTGGGGCAGAAATAGGTATTAAGATCCAATCCACTGCTTTCCTGCAATCACTCTCGAGGATAAGTCTTTCCTTCGTTGCCCACTCTGATGAAAGAAATACATCATTTCCCTGCTTAATAGCTTTTAACTCAGCTAACATAGGAGGGCCTGGTCCCACAGCCATAGAGAAAGAGGCTAAAATAAAGCAATTGGAATCTTTCAAAACTCCTCCAATTCCTCCCTGCAGCCCATCCCCTCTCACCGCCCCATCAACATTGAATTTAAAGAAATCATGAGGGGCCGGAGACCAACAAATAACCTTCTTCTTCTTAGATATCTGAGAATGGATTCTGTCCGCAAGCGATGGATCCCCTATTAATAAGTCGGCCTGAATGTTAACAAGAGGAAATTAGCTAAGAACCATTTAGCCAGCCTAAATCTAGTTATAAAGAACAGAGATGAGCTATCAAAATTCCAGTTTTCAAATACCACCGAATTCCTCGCTTTCCATAGTGACCATAAAACTACTCCAGGAATAAACTTCCAGATGGTAGAGTACTCCCAAATATAGGACCAAGAACAAAGTAGTGAAACCGGATCTTGGGGCAAAACTGTAGAAATATCCCAAAAATTAATGAATCTATTCCACAGCTCCATTGCAACCGAACAAGATACAAAAAGATGTTGAATTGACTCCTCAAAGTTATGACATAATGGACACTGGACATTTTCCAGATTAACTCCTCTCTTCTTAAGTTCCACTCTAACATCCACTTTCCTATGAGAAATCTGCCATAGGAAAGTTTCCACTCTAGGAGGTACCAAACCAGACCAAACCCACTTCTTCCACTGAAAAGTATCTCCATTTCTGCTTGAAAGAGCAATTCTGCATGACTTAACCGAGAACAAACCATCACCATTCCCCGACCACCCAAGGAAATCATCTATTGATTCAGTCAGGCGAATATTATCAATCAAAAGCATTAATGACATCCACTGATCCAATTCCCAGTCACATAAGTTTCTCCTTAACTGAATATTCCAAATCCAACCATTATTTTCAAAGCACCCAAAATCTGCCACTTTTCCTTTTTTATTGTTCGATAGAGCGAATATCCTAGGGAACTGACTCTTTAAGGAAGAGCCATTGACCCAATCATCATTCCAAAATTCAATTGATCTACCATTCCCCACGTGAATCTTCGAATTGGACCTCAAGCACTCCCCTATCCGATCCTCTTTCTCATAATTATTCAAAATACCTCTCCAAATCCAAAAGTCTACAGGAGAAACGGCATTGCATATTGGCAAGGATAAATTACTGACATTAAGCTTACAACATAGTAATTTTTTCCACTGAGCCTCCTTCTCGTTTGATACTTCCAAGCCCATTTCCCTAGCAATACTCTATTCACCAATCTCATGTCCAAGATTCCCAAGTCACCCTCGTCATAAGGTTGACACACCTTATTCCAATTTATCCAATGGATCCGTTTCTTGGCTTGTCCTTCACCCCAAAGAAAACTAGCCATTATAGAGTTTAGTTTCTGATTAACCTTCAACGGTAATTTAAAGATAGAAAGGTAGAAAATAGGTAAAGAAGACAACACCGATTTCACCAACACCACCCTCCCAGCCATCGATAAAGAGGAAACTTTCCAACTTGCTAGCCTGCTGTACACTTTCTGCAGAACTGGCTCCCACAATACTTCTGAATTTCTAATTGCACCTATTGGTAAACCAAGATAAGTCATAGGAAAATAACCCATCCCACAACCTGCTTCAGATGCCCAATCTTTGACAATGTCCTCTTCCAAATTAACTCCAAACAGTTTACTCTTAGACAAATTGAGGTGAAGCCCTGAAATTAGACTAAACACCCTCAAAACTCTCCTTCAATTGAGAATTTGAGTTGAAGAATCTCTGCAGAATAAAATAAGATCGTCTGCAAACTGTAAATGAGTCAAATTAAATGTATTATCCTCCTTACACAACATTAAATTCAAGAGTTCCCCAACTATGTTAAACAACAAAGGGGACAAACTACAACCTTGCCTCAACCCCTTGCCCATCTGAAATTCTGCTGTTGGAGAACCATTAACGAGAACTGAAATTGAAGCAGAAGAAATACAGTACCAAATCCAAGAAATCCATTTCCCCCCAAACCCCATGATCTTCAATAATCTCAAAATAATTGGCCATTCGACTGAGTCATAGGCTCTACGAAAATCAATCTTGAAGACGACTCCTTTCCTTCCTTTTTTCCTCCAAAAGTCTATGGATTCATTGGCCATAAAAGCACAATCAAGCAGTTGCCTTCCAGGAATAAATGCAAACTGAGAGGGGCTAATAAGATCTTTAATAACTGAAACCAGCCTTTTCGATAAGATTCTGGAAATAATTTTGTATAAGGTACCAACTAGGCTAATTAGTCTATAATCTTCAATACCTTATGGATTAAGTCTCTTAGGAATCAATGTAATAAAAGCATGATTGACCCCATGCTCCCAACTCCTCCCTCTATGAAAATCATTCACAAACTTCATAAGATGATCCTTCAAGAAAGGCCAGAATTTCTTAAAGAAGCCCATCGTGAAACCATCTGGACCCGGGGATTTGGCACTGTCCGAATGAAAAACTGCTTCCCACACTTCTTGTTCTGAAAATATGACCTCCAGACTATTCTTCTGCTCCTCTGTTAATTTCATGAAATTGAAATTGATTTCTTCCACCTCTAATGTATCTTTAGAATTGTAATTCTTCTTAAAATAATCATAAACAAAGGCCTTCAACTTATTCGGGTCTGAACACTCTTCATCAGCAACTTTCAATGACGAAATAGAATTTATTATGTTTCTATTCAATGCTGTTAAGTGAAAAAACCTCGTGTTCCTATCCCCATCCTTGCTCCATTTCAATCTTGATCTCTGTAGCCAAATACTCTCTTCTCTTCTGTGCAGCTTCAACAATTCGTGTATAGCCATTCTCAGCATGTCCCTTTCTTGCATTGAAATTCCACCGTTTTGTAGCTTCAGTTCCCAACCATTAATCTTACCTTCTAATTCTGAAATCCCTTCAGATATCCCACTTAAATTCCTATTAGGCCACTTCTTGATCTGTTGTTTTGTTCCTCGAAGTAAAGAAAACAACCCCATTCTACCATTACCCATCATAGGGTTAGACAAAGACTTTTCAACCAATCCAGCAAACCCGTCTTCCTCTAACATGTAATTATAAAATCTAAAAGGCTTCGGTCCCCAATTGTTGCATTCTTCTGCTAACACTACCGGATTATGATCCGAGAGGGACTTGGGTAGCATTTTCTGTATCACTTTTGGAAATTTGTTAAGGAAAGAGCTGCTAATTATAAATCTGTCAAGCCTTACCCAAGTGGGATAATCTCTATTGTTGCACCAAGTAAATCTTCCACCAACTAACTGAAGATCCATAAGATTAGTGTGTTGTACAAAGGATCTAAACAAATCCATGCAATGCCAATTTTGAGATACTCCACATTTCTCCTCGGTATCTAAATATGCATTAAAATCTCCCCCTATACAAACTGGCTGATTTAGACCTTGAACAAAGCACAACAATTCCCTGAAAAACTCCTCTTTATCCGCCTCTACTGATGGACCATATACATTTATGATAACACACTCAAAGTTAAGCAACTTGAACTTCCCTGACAACGCCATGAATCTGTTCTGGATATGTTGTGCTGTGACCTCAAAAATGTTTTCATCCCACATAAATAACTGTCCACCAGCCGAGCCCTCGACAGGATTGAAGGTACCACCTTTCAAAATATTACCCCCTAACTTCCTCCATAGACCTGAATGGAAAACATTCAGCTTTGTCTCCTGTAGTAAAAGAATAATCGGCTTCTCTCTATTAACAAGTCTGGCCACTGCTCTGGTTTTTTCTCTTCTTCCTAGACCCCTAACGTTCCATGTTATTATTTTGAACTTTGACATTAGAAATAACTGTCATACAAACCAACACAAACCAAAAACATTCATACTCCCCGAGAAGACCCCTTAATCTCCATCTTAAATATCTCTTCCTCTAATAGATGCTGACCCCCTTTAAAAGTAATTCCCAACAAATCACAGATCTCTCTAGTTGCAGCAGCCTCGTTCCTAGCTTTAACTGAAAGTTGAGAAGACTGAGATGACTCCCTATCTTGATCCACCGAATCCCTGACCATCCTCCTAACAACCCTTCTATAGACTCTGTTATAAAAACTGATAGCCACTTCACTGTCTGAGCACACACTCCCTGAGCGATGTGGTGCTATTCTCAATGTCCTCTGATTCATCTTCTTTTTGACAGGGAGTATCCTCTGATTTTTAAGACTGTTAGATCGAGAACTATACTTCACATGATTGATAACTGGAACTGGGTGATCCTCCTTTGCTAAAAATTGACCCACCCTCATCAGTTTTGAAGAACTTCCCACGTGGTTCTCATTATTCCTGGTCCTTATACTTGGAATTGATACGCTTCCCTCATTTTGACTGCATTGCTTATCCTCCATGACCTTCTTCATCTTCCTTGGTCCATCCACTTGATCATCTGACCTTATATCCCTTTCTGCATACTTATGGGTCTGAAAGCTGCATACATGATCTTCATCCAGACTCCTCTGGCCAGCAGACTGAACTATCTCCACGTTAACACCCTGTTCACTTGGAACCACCATCTCCCCCTGCATATTCTCCTTAATCACCCCAGCCTCACCCTCATCAGCAGCATTCAAGGAGTTTTCATAACAGGGGTTGGGCTGTAGAATAAACCTTTTCCCAACCCATTTAATATTGTAAGCAGGCCCATTAGGAATCAGTTTTTTAATTGGAGAACCAACTACCTCATTTTCCTCTGACTGACCAAAGTTAACTTGATCTTTTGAACCCCTCAATCCCAGGCCTGCATGACTTCCCATCTGGTTAGTCCTATTTTCCAAGAAATCTGACAGCCCACAATTTGAATTTTCTGCTGTTGACTTTCCCGATGAGACTTGTCCCCCACAAACTCCATTCACACCACTGTTCTGCCCATTATTCAGCCAAGATATGACTTTGAATGTACCATCGTCTGAGAACTCATCCCCATCTGCTTCCAAAGAAGGACATCTCCCAACCCCCTCCCTAGACAAGACATAACCACTGTTACATTTTTTTGAAATTTTCTCCACCATCTTCCTCCCCGCTTCTTCTGGTTTTTTCAGAACAGAACCCATCGAAATCTTAACTTTGAAGGATCTGCCATAAGAACCAATCGTAACCATCTCAGGTACATCATAAGGACTTTCCACCCTTAGCAAAACTTTCGCCACCGACAGGTCCGATCTGGTCACTGATTCCTCCTTAAAACAAATAAAATCACCCCACTTCCCAGAAAGTTTCTTCACGAATGACTCATTCCAACATAACAAAGGCAATCCATACAACTCTATTTGACAAGGAGCCATCGGAACTCCATCCTTGTTCAATACTGGTGCCAACCAGTCTAAGCACAAGAGCAACTCTTTCTTCTTATTCATCCATACGTGAGAGAACTCCTCAACTGAATTGAATGTAATGATGCACGCATTCCATACGTACCCCCATCTCGCAATCTGAACTTCCACCCCCTCCATCTCCAAAGCTTCCTTTAACGAAACGAGATCAAAAGAAGGTTTCATTATCCCTGTTAATGTTCTCTTCACCCATTCTGAGTTGTCTGATGGAATATGCATCTCCCAAAGCATTCTTCTTAACACCCTCCAAGTTACTTTCAGAAATTACTACATCCTTATATGATCTGCCGTCTCTCATACCTCTACCCGACTCAAATTTCCTTCCAGTATTTGAAATATCCCTTCCCCCTGACTTGATTACATTAATTTGCATGATTGCTCTGGCTGTCCTTTTAATTTTTCTCGTTTGTTTGTGAACCGCAGAAAGAATGCCTCAGCTACAGATGTGCTGACATGGACCGAGAAATCCCAGCTTTGATGAGTGTCTCAAAAGCTATTCTGGAGAATGTGATTTTTGTTCACCAAGATGAGGCCAATTGGGCTTTACAAGATCCTTCGACTTTGAAAAAGAAGTTTGATGATATATTTTCAGCTACTAGGTATGCTGTTTTTTCCCCCTCTAACAAAACCATTCCCTCACAATATTGAAATTGGTTGTGCACTACTTGTTACCCGTTGTTTGTGAAACTATGGGTGCTGTCATGTTTTTGAATTTTTTTATATATCAGGTCTAGTGTACAGAAACACCCTTCTTTGTATTCACAATTTTTGTCTCCAAGTTATGAGCCAAGAATTGAAGATTTGCTTTCTCTCATCCCTTGAACTCTCTTTATATATTCCTGGCCCTAGAAAGAAATATACGTTCTGTACATGGTCTGTAAATTGCTTATATACTTATTTCAAAAGCCTTCTTGTATTAGTTGGTTGAAAGTTTCAATGTCTATTAATAGCAGTCGCCATACCAGAGAAAGGTTAGGCTTCAATCATATGAATTTTGGCTCATTTTATGATTCATTCAAGTTCAAAAATGATTCTCGGAAAGTTTGCTCAGGAAGACTGTCAGAACCATTCTGAAGCAAGAACTCTTACGAACATAGTACTTTTCTACGTTAATTCTTGGCTGCAAGTTGAGAATTTTCATCTAATAATCTAAGTAAAATGCCCAATCTTTGTAGGACTGAATCGTAATCTCCACATTTATTTTTACTTTTCTTTTGTGTTGTAGGATAGAGTGTTTATATACTTGAAGTGGCAAATCTGGATATTGTTTAATGTCTCTTACACCTACCAGCTTTTAATAAAGCATGGTGGATTTCTTGCATGGTTTTGGTTTAATTTCGTGAAGCATGTGAAAAATTTCTCACTATGATATTTAATTTGCTGATTTATTTCCACAAAAAAGGTTTAATTTTCTCATCTTGATTGTTTTAGGACATTCTTTTTCTAATGGCTGCCTATAAACAGATATACAAAAGCCTTGGAGGTCATAAAAAGCTTCACAAAGATCAGGCTCAAGAGATAAAGGCATACAAGCTGAAACTGGAACACTTACAGACCTTGAAAGATGCTGCATATAAGGTGGATATATTATTCTTTTGGTTATTTTCTTTTTCGTTTTTTTAATCCTGATTCTACTTCCTCAAACTTAATATTTGTTTAGGATTTCTGCTGAATTAGTGTTGTTCCTCTCTTATTGTAAGTAGGATTATAAAGATCTTGTGGTCTACATAGCATAAGCCACATAAAAGACTTGTACTGTTCTATCATCCAACAAGTAATTGTGTTTTACAGGTTTCTAATGATACTGTTCAATTTTGTTAACAAAAACTGTTGGAGTGTCAAGGGTTTGATTTTGTTTGTGAAAACACAAAGGATCTTTGTACTGAAGTGATATAATCCGCTAGAAATTCTGGAAGAGGGACAAATAAAAAAGGAATCTGATTGAAGACGATCTCAGTGCATGTTAGGTTCTGGTTTACTGAAACGGTTCTCTGTTTTTAATGTTTAGATTTGGGCTTTTGGCTGGCATTCTTGATTTTATAACCCTGCATCTTCATGCATGTTTGCCTATTGTTTTAGCATTCTAGTTCTCTCTCTCTCTCTCTCTCTCTTTCTCTCTGTCTTAACTGTGGTGAAGCTAAAGTTGTCCCGGTGGGACTGCAAATAAATACATTGACATTACACTTTCCTCTTGTGTTTCTGAAACCTAGATTGCCCTTCTTGAATGTGTCTCATGAATGTGAAGAAGAGTACTCTATGTAGAAGTGGGTGAACCTTTCTGATGTCGGAAAGGCCAGTAAAGTTGAGGGAAAATGTAGTTATTTCAGATTTTGGAGCTATTCTAATAGCTGTATGTTTATGGGATGCCAATCCATACAATTAACAGTATGGTTTAGGGTTTATTATTACCCTAATATTCAACAACTTATGAACATCAACTTGAAAACAATTTTTTTTGATATGGTTCTTCATAAAGCTTCGAGAAAGCATTTCTCAGAACCAAGAAAAAACAGAATCATTGAAAAGCCAAAATGCAAGTCTTGGAGAAAATCATTGATGACCTGGATGCTAAGATTCATAATGCCGAGTTAACCCTGAAGGATCTACGAAAGCTAGAGGACCAGAAATCAACAAAGACTGCTGAAAGGAGCACTTTGTTCAAGGAACAGCAGAGACAATATGCAGCTCTTGCTGAGGAAAATGAAGGTTTGTCAATTCAATAATTGAAGTGGGATTCTTATTTTTTCCTTTTGTCTCTTTCAAAGGGAGCCATGTAAATCCTGCATTTAAGGAATCACTGATTTGTTATGTATATTTTCTTGTATTTCGTTGTTAGATACTGATGAAGAGTTGATGGAATGGAAAACCAAGTTTGACGAGAGGATTATGTTATTGGATAATAAAATTCAGAAAATGGGGCGTAACCAGCAGGACTTGGATGAAGAGAGCTCTGCTTATCGGCGTAAATTAAATAAGTGTACTGAGGAGATTGGCAAACTTCAAAGGGATGCTGAGGTGTTAGAAAAAGATGGGATCTTTTAAAAAGTAAATCATAACCATCTTATTGTGCGAATTTTGTTATGGTTAACTCTTTTTCTTTTGCAGACCCTTGTGATGTCAAAAAAAGACAGATTCTGCCATTGAACGATTGTTTGCACGATTCAATTTAGGATCTACTCCGAATAGTCCTTTTAGCGATGAAGTTGCTTTGAACCTCATGAGCCAAATAGAAGTGAGGTTAATGGATCTCAATAAAGATTTGGATGAGAAAAAGGTGATTTTTGTGTTTTTATGAACTAATTCATCTTCTTTCTTCCTATATGTGTGCAGTTATTATTTATCTGTTACAGAGATCAAATTTTGTATAGTGCACAACATACAGAGATCAATTTCTGTATAATGCACACCGTATTATTTATTGATGCATTATAGCATTTGAGATTATCCTTTCACAAATGCCAATATGGCTTTGATATCAGTTGTTCTTATTCTGAACATCACTTCCCGTAATTTCAGCAATCAAATGACCAGAAGCTAAAGACTGCTTGGGATTGCTACCTGGGTGCCAGTGAGCGTTGCAACATTGCTGAGGCTCAGAAGAAGGCAAAATCAGAAATCAATGTCTGTCTTTGAGAAATCTTATGCAACTTAATTACCAGCTACCTTTATTCTCATTTGTTTTGAGCATTTACCTGTGATACATTTCAGTGTTCTGTTTTGAAACGTTTGGAAGAGACAAAAAGTAATTGTGATTCTCTTGAAATTCAAATTTCTGACGTCAATATTTCTCTCCTTGATGAAAGAGAAAAGAATATGGTGAGTATAGTCTTGCTCAATGGCCTTGCTTTGGATCCAAAATCCTCTTCCTAATGAATCTTGATTAACAAAGTGGAAAGTAATGGTCCTTTCTTTTGCTGTTGGCATCAAGTTGAGATGGACAGAAAGAAAAACAACTGGATGAACGAAACCACGACGAAATCATACAACAAAAGCAGCAGGAGGTGTTTGCCATAGATCAGAAGATTAAGGTACTTGGTCATGAGAGAAACCTTGCTGCTAATGATGCCAAAGAGAGAATGGAGCTATCTATAAAAAAGAGAGAATTGGAGGATAAGAAGAAACAACAAAATAGATGTAAATCTGCTTTACCTTTCAATTTTCATCAGCCTCCTTATAATTTGTTTCGGAGCCTATTCCTTTTATCTCGTGATGAAGCTGATGGCTTTATTATTGTTTTCAAGAATTGAAGAGTACAAAGACAGGATTAGAGTAGTGCTAAAAGGGAGGGTTCCTCCTGACAAAGATCTGAAAAGGGAAGTTACCCAAGCTTTAAGGTTGGTTGACAAAAAATACTTGACTCATTCTTCAATATGCTATGCTATTATAAAGGATTTTTATTTTTGGAAAAGGGGTGTGGGTAGAGGGTGCTGTTGGTATTCATGATGATCAAGAGTGATAACCAGGGTAACAGAGTTCTCCCCCATGATCAGTTGTTATTACCTTGGTAACACTAGCTGGTGGTGATCTTACTTCAACGAGATCAATAGTATCACACTTCATGACTTCAATGGAATGACCATCTCCACTTCCATTATTTCAATGGGTCATTCGTTTGATTCTGATTTTTAGACAGAACTTCCCTGATACACTAATATATATGTTGTATATTGCTTCTTATAAATTAATGAGTATATAGTTATTCTTTGGGTAAGATTTTGACATGAAAATATATTGAAATAAGGAAAAACATTATTTAGGTAAAAAAAGTTATTACAATTTCATGCAAAGTCAAACATGGGCATAATATTGAACAAATGCGTGCATGATAAGTTCATCATAAAGTCGTTAATATATGTAATATATAATTATTTGCACTTATGCTATATTTGGGTATATTTATATGGTATTACAATTGGATTGTTTTTTCTTTTTAATTAGAAAAAGTGGAGTAAATAAGGAGGGATGACATGATGCGTAGGTATTGGCTCAGGAGGACAACAATCAATGAGTTGAAAGATATGCCTTTATAATATCATCATATAGTTTCTTCTGCTAACTTCTGCTAACTTCTGCTAATATATATAAGTGATATTTGTAATCATCGGTTTTCTTTGGGGAATTTGGCTTCAATATGTTCTGAAATATTCTTATTTTTTTTATAGGAATAGGAGGTCTCATTAAAAACCTCCCTCATAGTTGCCTCTTGAGAAGAGGCGACTAGCGGAAGGAGGAAAAGAGTACCTTAGTAGATTAATAACTGAAAATTACATAAGACTATAGTTTACAGAAAATACCCGAAATAAAAGACCAAACAACCATTATAACACTAAGGACATTCAATCTATCCCCTCCTTAGCTAACTTGTCAGCCTCCCAATTACAAGCCCTAGGAACCAGCCTAACCATAATGTCCTTAGCGGAAATTAAATCCCCAATTTCCCCAACCAAAGAACAAAAAAATGAAGGGGCAGCAAAGGGCCTCAAAATCCAATCCACTACTGTTTTACAGTCACTCTCCACAATAAGTATTCCCTTCAACACCCAATCCAAATTAAGAAACAAATCAATGCCTTCTCTAATAGATTTCAACTCAGCAAACAAAGGAGGACCAGGTCCCACGACCTTAGAAAAAGTGATCAAGATAGAACCATTCGAATCTTTCAGCAAACCTCTAATTCCACCCTTCAAACCATCACGTCTAACTGCCCCGTCCACATTGAATTTATAAAAATCAGTTGGAGGTGGGAACCAACACTGATCCTTCTTCTTAATATAATTGACAGCTATACTGTCTACAAGCTGTGGATCCCCTATTAATAAATCTACTTGGAAATTAGCCTTAGGAAATTTAGCTAAAAACCATTTGGCCAGCCTGAATCTGCAAATGAAGAACATTGTAGAGCTCTCAAAATTCCAATTTTCGAACACCACTAAATTCCTAGCCTTCCAAAGCGACCACAGTACAACTCCCGGTATAAACTTCTAGATAGAAGAAGAAGCCTTTAAAACAGACCAAGAACACAGTAAAGACAGGGGATCTTTGGGCAAAACTGTAGAAACCTCCCATAACATAATGAATCTATTCCACAACTCCCAAGCAACAAGACATAATATAAAAAGGTGTTGAATTGTTTCTTCCTCCTTTTGGCATAAAGGACATAATAAATTGTCCAGGGGAACACCTCTTTTTTCCAACTCCACTTTAACAAGTTTTTGGTGAGATAGTTGCCATAGAAAAGTTTCAACTTTTGGAGGAGCCAACCCAGACCATACCCATTTATTCCACTGGAAATTCCCTCCAGAACTGCGTGTAAGTGTGGATCTACAAGCCTTAACTGAGAACAAACCATTTCCATTCCCTGACCAAGTTAGAAAATCATCAACTGAATCGATCAAAACAATATTCTCAATCAATGTCATTAGAGAAATCCATTGATCCAATTCCCAGTCGCATAAATTCCTCCTTAATCGAATATTCCAAACCCAACCATTGTTTTCATAACAACCAAAGTCTGCAACTGTTCCCAATTTATTAATCGATAAGGTGTAAATCCTAGGAAATTGTTCTTTTAGAGTAATATTATTAACCCAAACGTCATTCCAAAATTCAATTGATCTACCATTCCCCACTTTGATCTTTGAATTTGACCTGAAACAGTTCCCAATATCATCCTTTTCCTCATAATATTTCAAAATTCCTCTCCATATCCATGAATCATTAGGATTAACAGCCTTATCAATTGAAAGAGCTAAATTACTGATATTGTGCTTGCAACAAATCATCTTCTTCCACTGAGAATCTTTCTCATTTGCAAATTTCCAAACCCACTTCCCAAGTAACACTCTATTGGCCATAGACAAATTAAGGACACCCAAGCCACCCTCCTCGTAAGGTTGACACAACGTTTTCCAATTAACCCAATGAATCTGTTTCTTCATCGGACCATCCCCCAAAGGAATTTAGCCATCAAAGAGTTCAGCTTAAGACTTATCTTTGAAGGGATTTTGAAAATAGATAGGAAAAAAATAGGTAAGGACGACAAAACAAACTTCACCAACACTAATCTCCCTGCCATCGATAATGAGGTAGCTTTCCAGCCTGCTAATTTGCTGTTGAACTTCTGCACTACTGGTTCCCACAACATTTCTGAATTTCTACTCGTACCAACATTGCTGTTGAAATATTCTTATTTGGTTTCTTGATTTTTGGTTTCTGTTGAAACTGATTAACTGTTTTCAGTACTTTAAGTTTCTGTAATATGAACTATTCTTTGGCATCGTATGTGTAGGTGCTTGTAACTTTAATATTTCTTTCTCATACTTGTATACAATTTTGTGTCCAATTTGAGCAATTCTCACTGCAGGGCTGTTCAAATGGAGTATGATGACTTGAGCACAAAATCCAGTGAAGCTGAGAAGGAAGTAAACATGTTGCAGATGAAAATAGATGATATTAATAATAATCTAAATTTGATGAATAGAGCACTTCTAGAAAAATGGACTTGGAGGTTTGCAAATGAAATGGGGTCTGTCTGGAGGGATCTTATTTGTTCTAAATATAATTTGGACCCTTCTTTGTTATTGTTTGATAGTAAGACTCCAAACAGAGTATCTTGGATTTGGAGATCAGTGGTTAATAACCACTTTAAAGATGACCCTATCGGCTCAAAGTTAAGAAGTTTGTATTCTTTTTTAGTTGGGGATGGTAAATTTATTCGATTATGGCTGGACATTTGGGCTTTGGATTATCCACTTCTATTAATTTTCCCTAGATTGTTTTCCATTCGATTAACAAAACAGGCAAATTATTTGAGTTTGGGGAGTATAGCTCTTTCGGCTGGATTTGGGATGTGCAGTTTCGCAGGAATTTAAATGACTGGGAGATAGAGCAGTGGGCTAATTTGATGACTATCATCTCGGCTTTTGCTCTAAATTTGGATAATTCGAATGGGATGATTTGGAAAGGGTCTGGGGATGGGGTGTTCACTGTGAAATCTGCTGTCAATCTATGCTCATCAGGTTCTTTATGTTCGGATGAGGCCTACTTCTGGAGTAAGATTGTTTGGAGGGGTCAGCTGCCACCAAAAGTGGAGTCCTTTTTGTGGCAGGTTGTTCTAGGGAGGTTGGCTGTTAAAACAGAACTGGTGAAAAGAGGAATAGAGGAATTCAGAATCTGTTATGCCCTCTTTGCATGATGCAGGAAGAGTCTCCTTCACATTTGTTATTCTCATGTTCGGTGGTGTGGGCTGTTTGGAATAAATTTCTCAACTTCTGGAAGATTCAAACTGTTTTTCATTATAATGCTAAAAGTTTTCTCTTGAATTGGGATGCGTTGAAGACTAATTCTCCGATTTGGTCTCTCATTCCAGGGGTAGTTATTTAGACTACTTGGAAATTGAGGAACTCAATTGTTTTTGAAGGAGGAAAGTTGGATGAGGTTGAATTCTTCTTCTTAGCAAGGTTTAGGCTTGCTTCATGGTTCCTAGCGAAGAATAAAGGGGTGTATATTCTTAAAGACTCTCTCATTTCAGACCCCTCCTTAGGGGACGTTTGTTCAACCCATTCTAATATGATTGTGTCTACTATTCCGTGGCATCCTCCTCCTATGGGTTTTGTGAAAATTAATGTTGATGCAACTACGACTAAGGATTGGAAGAAGAGTGGTTTAGGAGGAGTTTTAAAAGATTTCTCTGGAACTACATTAGGGTCTTTCAAGGAGCCTGCAGGTCCGGGGCCTCCAACATTTATGGAGTTAAAAGCTATTCAAAATGGGCTAATGTTCTATGCTGATTTTCGAGCGAGGATCAAAGACAGGTTGATTATTGAAAGTGACAGCAAAATGGCAGTGGACTGGGTTAAGGGGGATGAATTATGTCCTCATGTTTATGCTTATTTGGTTACAGACATTGTTTACTGGCTTAATATGTTCGATGGTGTGGTTAGATGGGTAAGCAGGACAGCTAACTTAGAGGCTGATGCCTTAGCTAAAGAAGGAATTGGTTGATTAAATGTTGATGTTTATGGGTCACAAGGTTGCCTTGTGTTGACTTGTATGTTTACTTTACTTTTAGGGTTGTATCTTGTATATTATTGTTTTGTTCAATAATATCCTAAGGCACTCTTTTCCTCCTTCGCTGATTAAGGAGCTTATCAACAAGCACCTTCTATCAAGGAGGGTTTTAACGAGGCCTGAAATTCTTATCAAAAAAAAAATAATAATAACCTATCCAAATATAAGAAAGAAATGGACTGTAAGTAGCTCTGATGCCTTTCATATTCATAGTGCTTAATGGTACTTATGTTCTTGTAATTTTTTATATAGTGTTGAAGATTCTAATATGTAGGTTAACTAAGTGGAGATTTAACATTCATGGTAAATCTGGTAGTTAACTTAGGGTTTAAATGAATTGTGATTTTATCTCAAAGCATAGCTGGAATTGAAGGAAAAAAGTAGCTGCAAAATATGATGTGGCAAGTATACGAGTATCACTCTGATAGTATCATCAGTTTAACATACATTGTAGCAGTTGGGAGAGAATGAGGAAATAGTCGATAGTAAATTTTGCAGTTACGAAAAATAGTATAAGATCCTTGGAGTAATATCAAGTGAATTCAAACTTGTTATGCTTGGTTTGGATTCTTAAAATTGTTATGGTTAGAAGCATCACCAATGTTTTATAAGCTATACACTATTCAAGTGGGCAAATTCACTATAGAATGATAAGCCTTAGGGAAGCGACTGAGGTTCATTCCTGGAAAATTGGAAACTGAAAATGTACCAAAACTTAAGTAATTTGATAAATATTCCTATGATGCCATCCTTCCTATACCAGAAGGACCTGATTACTGATAAAAGAGTCCATGTTCATAGCCTGTGGCTTCGAAAGAGCTTAAGATCAATTTACTCATTAGTTTTTCTTGTGTTTTCTTTTGTCATCTAAATTCAGCTAGGAAGAGATTTCTTGAAGCCAGATTAAATTCTTTGGAGAAACAAGCTTCTACCATTGATTCCTACCCAAAAGTACTGGAGACTGCACAGGAGAAAAAAGATATCCATAAAAGGTTCTTGCTCTTGATTTTTAGAGGCAATGTTCTATTATGTGCGGATATATTCATTTTCAGTTTTCCATTTTTTTAGCCATGCTTGTAATATAACTGGATCATTTCCTCCAGCAAATACAACATTGCAGATGGCATGAGGCAAATGTTTGATCCATTTGAAAGAGTTGCCCGTGCTCATCATGTTTGCCCCTGCTGTGAGCGTCCTTTTTCTGCTGAAGAAGAAGATGAGTTTGTTAAGAAGGTTGTGAATTGTGATATATAGGTTCTCTTGAAGCTTATAGTTAGTTAATCTTCTCTTTCTTGTGTATTTATTGGTAAACTTGTGTGCATTGGGGATAAGGAGATCTGCACTTGGGACTTCCAGAGCCTTACCGCTCTCTGACCTCTTATTTTTTTTCTGTAAACTTTCAGGGGCACTACCTGATATCAAAATCTATTGGTTCGGTTAGCATAAAGGTCTAAATTCTGTTTTATTTTCTTTTAAACTACAGCAAAGAGTCAAGGCAGCTAGTTCAGCTGAACATATGAAAGTGTTGGCAGTGGAATCATCAAATGCCGAGTCTTACTTTCAGCAGTTGGACAAGCTTCGAATGGTTTATGAGGAATATAATAAAACTGTAAAGGAGACAATTCCTCTTGCTGAGAAAACTTTGCACGAACTAACTGAAGAGCTGGATCAAAAGTCTCAAGCCCATTATGATGTATGTATCTGTTTCAGTAGATATGATTTTATATGAGTACTGCTACGATTTATTGTTAAAGATAAAAATAAAAGAATGGCTATATATCAGCATTGTCTGTTCAGCCTACATTTTATGGGGAGGGTGAAGTAGTGTTATACATATTATTGTGGATTGTCATACTGGTCATCCACATTTTTATTCCTGGCATGTTGCAAAGAGAAATATGTCCCAAGCAGGAAAAAAGAACACAATAAAATTCCTTGGAGATTAATTTCCCATTTTAGATGCTGTATTGATGTGATTTGTAATTGTTTATTTGTAAGCATATGATATGTAGTCCTACTAGTGCAACCAGGCTTGATTCCAAGTCTTTCTGAGGTCAGTAATATATTGTTGAAAATAGCTTATCGAAAACATTTTCCTCAGTGTACTATATTTCTGCGTCATAAAAAATAACTTAGTGGGAAACGATTCTTTTAGGATTAGATAATCTAGTTTCCCTAGTTAAAATAATTTGCATCTTTATCTGAAGACCATTCTTCATTATTTGTTTGTCCTTATCATTAGAAGTTGCTATATTCACTTTGGGATAGAACAAGAAGGGATGAGATGATGTAAGTCTAAACTATGAAAGTCGTTATAATTGCCTGTGAAGGTCTGATAGTTTTCATACCAGCGAAAATGTAGTTTAGATGAAGCATTTAGAATTGACCTTTCAATCTTAAAGAGTATTCTTCTTTCATCACACCTTGATTTCTTTCTCTTTCCTATGTTCCCTAAGTTTCAGTATGTATATGCCAGCCTCTAAAGAAGCAATTATTGAATTTGCATTTTAAAATAATTACCGATAACTATATTTGTTATGGTATAAATTTAAAACTATCAAAGAAACTTTTATGATGATTATTTAGTTTTAGCAATGCATTATTTTTCAACTATTGTTGTTATTCTTATAGGTGTTAAGTGTTTTAGCCCAAGTAAAGACAGACAAGGATGCTATTGAGACTTTGATGGGACCTGTTGAAACGGCTGACAGGCTTTTTCAAGAAATTCGGGGTTTAAAGCAGAAGTTGAACATTTGGAATGTAAGTTTGACATCGGAGGGCAAGGTGGTGCTAGAACTGTGGAAGAGATCCAATTGGAGCTAAACAATTTGCAAAGCAGAAGGTAACAGCCATTTTTTACCCAACCCAAATATAGGGCGTTGATAAGCTTGTAATCATCTGTTTTAAGCATAAAAATTTTGTAGAGATAATATTTTGATTTGTCATCGGTATTTAGCAACTTTCCTTCTCTTTGCAATCAGGGATGCTTTATATAATGCTGTGGAGGACTTAAGGGCAGAACAGAGGTACATGGAGAAGGATTTGCAAAGCATTCAGGTGCATTGGCACGATGCAAGGGAGAAAAAGGTGGAGGTGGCTAACACATTGCGTGATTTTAAAAAGGCAGAAGAAGAGATAGAGCTCTTGTCTGAGGAGAGACGTCAACTTGATCTTGAGGAGAAGGTTGGTAATCTGATAAGATACTGGTCTAATTGTTTACTTTAACTTGCAATTATATTCTGTGCTAGTATCTGTATGCTTGCTCTCTTAAGATATTAACAGATTTTCTCTTTGATTGGCTGCTATTCTACTATCATGTTGTGTGTACTCGGTATCTTCAATCAAGTTAAAATAATTTATACCTTGACTGATGCCATCCTAATGTATCTCAAATTATTAGTCATGATACTTCTTAATGTGATAATTGGTTCTCTTTTAAGCCCTTTACATATTAGTTGCTAATGTGATTTACATTAAAACTTTCATCTCTTTTTATCTTTTTTCAATGCATTGTTCTTGGACCTTTCAGCATTTAGCAGAGGCTCTCAACTCGGTAGTCAAGGAGAAGGAATCATTATTGAATGACTATGATTGCTTGAAAGTAAAACTCGATGAGGAATATGAGCAACAGCAGGAACTTAGACGCTCACATCGGCATGAAGCTGAAGAACTCTATGAAATTAACAGAAAGATTAAAGCGTAGATTTCTGAACCATGGAATTTAAGCTTGCTCTTAAGTGCCATTGAATTCTAGTTGAAGTTTTTGGCTACAGGTATTATGATTTAAAGAAGGGGGAGAAGCTGAAGGAACTGCAAGAACAGAAGTCTCTGATGGAATCTCAACTTCTCAGCTATGATGCTAGGAAACAGGAAATATTGGCTGAGCTAAACAAAAGCAAAGACTTGATGCGCAATCAAGATCAACTAAGACGTAACATTGAGGATAATATGAATTACAGGAAAATAAAAGCTGATGTAGATGTGCTTACTCGTGAAATTGAGTTACTGCAAGAGAGAATAATGGAGATTGGAGGTATTTCCAAATTTGAAGGCGAACTCCGAAAAGTTTCTGAAGAAAGGGAGCGACTTCTATCAGAGGTATGTATGATTCTTACTGGCATCTCTGTATGTTTAACTTTTCAATTATGTTCATTCACAGATAGCCTCTTGTCTATCACTAGCGTGCCATCATTTTTTCCTTGTTGGGTTGATATGGACCTACAGTTCTTTTACCCATACCCATATTGATTCAATGTGTGGAAGAGGGGTAGTGTTTTTTGTTGTTGTGTGTCTCTTTCCTCATGCGTTATTGCCTTTCAGGTGTTGAGCCTTTTTAATGTTAAGTTTTGTATGTATGTGTTCGCTTCACCATTCTTTACCTATTATTATTAAGCTCTTTTTAAAAGGTGTTCAATGTATACGTCTAAGAGTTGTAAGATGCTTCTCTTTCACTACAGCTCAACAGATGCCGAGGAACAATGTCCGTTTACCAGAATAATATCTCGAAGGACAAGGCTGATCTTAAACAAGCGCAATACAAGGACATTGACAAGCGGTACTTTGATCAGCTAATCCAGCTTAAGGTAGAAACTATTTTAATTTAATGCAGGATTTTACTGTTATTCCTTGTTTTTTTGTGTTATTAACTTGCGTGCTTTGTGGCTGTGGCAGACAACTGAGATGGCAAACAAGGACCTGGACAGATACCACAACGCACTTGACAAGTATGTGATTTGCCCATTTTTCGGGCTGTCTTTTAAATTACATGCTCAATTATCAATTTAGATTATGAATTCTTTCCGAAACTGTTCAAGAATGGTCCTTCAATTGCTAACAGGCTAGAGAACTGTGAATCATCCGATAAGTATAAATACAAAATCTGTTCATGTTTTAAATAAACATATTTTCTTTTCGAAACCTTTGTAGAGCACTCATGCGCTTCCATTCTATGAAAATGGAGGAAATAAACAAAATTATAAGAGAATTGTGGCAGCAGACATACAGAGGGCAAGATATAGATTGTATTAGCATTCATTCAGATTCTCAAGGTGCTGGAACTCGTTCTTACAGCTATAAAGTAAGGCCTTTTATCTATTTTTTGCTTTTTTACTTTTCCCCCCTCTAAATTTCATTTGTCATTACTTATTCCCCCCCTCAAAACAGGTTCTTATGCAAACTGGTGATGCTGAGCTTGAAATGAGAGGACGATGTAGTGCGGGTCAAAAGGTGAGTAATCATCGAATGTGGTATGGGAAAATGAATATTAATGTGTTGATTACTTTATCTAGCACGACGAGGAAATGAATCTGCATGGAACATACTGTTTGTTTCAGGTCCTTGCTTCTCTAATCATACGGTTGGCTTTAGCTGAGACGTTTTGCCTCAACTGTGGAATCTTAGCACTAGACGAACCAACCACAAATTTGGATGGCCCGAATGCTGAGAGTCTGGCAGCAGCTCTCCTTAGGTACGAGCACTTCATTTATCCTTCTCGTATTTATTTGAGGTTGCGGCTTTTAATCAATCATTCCTTCCTCTTTGCCCAGAATCATGGAGGACAGAAAGGGCCAGGAGAATTTTCAGCTCATAGTAATCACTCACAACGAACGTTTTGCTCAACTGATCGGTCAACGGCAACATGCAGAGAGATACTATCGGGTCACCAAAGATGATCTGTAAGGCTTATCATTTATTTACTTTTTTTTAAAGTTTCTTTACTAGTTTTTTTCTGTGGCATCTGATTACGACCATCTTTTCCGTCTCTCATTTTCTCAGTCAGCATAGTATAATTGAAGCCCAGGAAATCTTTGATTGAATTTTTTCAAAGGGTTTTTCCGATACATCACTGAGTGCCGAGATTGAGGCAGCATGCGACGGATGCGACTCCAGAAATCGAAGTGAGAGATTTGTTTGTTATGCAGTAAATTCATTGAAGAATATAGAGAATTGTCGCCAAAATTGTGAATGTGAAATGTCGTGTTTGTTTGTTCTATCCAAAAGCTCTTACCTAAACTTGAATCAACTGGGTCCAAACAGGCCCGTTAACCCGTTTTATAATTCGAAAAATAATAAAAATATTTTTAGGGTTAAACAGATTACTTGAGCATTAAGGCAAACAATGGCTAAGCTTGAAATGCATATTAAAGATAATCACCCATAACTGAGTTCTCATTTGACCTGACTCATTCCATCCCCTCATCCGATTGAGATAAACTTATCATTTAAATTAATGATAAAGTAAAAAAATAGTCTTCTAACTATATGATGTTTTGTTGAGTCCCATTATTATTAAAAGTTACAAAATAATCTTTCGACTATAGGATGTTATTTTGTTGAGTCTCCTGATTATTCATGTGTTTAAAATTTGTATTTTTTTTGTTAAAAAATTGATGATTGTCTGAGTTAGATGTTAAAATATTCACTGAAATATGATAAAATATGATATCATAGAATTGTTTGAACTATATTTTGTGCGTTGACTTCCTATTTATATTATACCGTCGAGTCAATACTTGAAATATTATGTCGTTGAGTCAGTGTTTGAAAGCAACGACGGTGTCAATAGACATCATTAAAATATAATTTTATCATATCTCAATCAGTAAGTTAATGTCCAGTTAAGATAACGATAATTTTTTAACGGAAAAAAGATAAGTTTGAAACATATGAATAATCGAATTATCATTTTATAACTTTTAATAGTCAGATTCAACGAAGCATCTTTTTGTAGTCGAAAGACCATTTGTGTATTTAATCCTTAAATTAATAACAATATCTTATAATGTAAAATTCTAATTCGTAAATTTGCTTTTAAAATTCTTTTCCAACTAGTATATGAATCAAATTAGATATTCAGATTAATTAAGTCATCAGCATAATATTTATATTTAGTGAGAACAAAGAATTTATATTTTATTTTTTTATAAAATAAACAATTGATTAGATTTCTACGTAAAAGTTAATAGATTCAAATAATGAATATTCGAATCTAAATTTATTTATTTTTTAAAAATATCAAATCATGACTATCTAAAAAAATTAAATGTTTAATAATAAAAAAAAAAAAGTTAAATGAAGGAGAGGAGCAAGTAAAAGTAAAAATGAGAAGATGGTGAAAATCTCATTTATTAATGCGAATCACCGTCCAGTCCTTGTCCCAACTACAACAACAACCGCTTCACGTTGCGTGCCTTCCGCTTCACCATAACCTCTAATTTTTCATTACTCTCTTCTCTTTCTCACTCAGATCCACCAACTCCGCACCGATGGGAATATAACATGAATAATTGACTCCGCTTCCCTATTTATTGCATTGCATGCCTTGCTCCTAAGCACATCCCTCGCCATTTCCCATCCTTCCTTTTATTTTCTATCATTTTGCTACGTTGATTGTTTCATTACCACAGGTGGAAGTGCTTTTTTTTTTCACTTTCAACAATGGCTCTTTCAGTCGAGAAAACCTCCAGCGGACGTGAGTATAAGGTGAAGGACATGTCTCAGGCCGATTTCGGTCGACTCGAGATCGAGTTGGCCGAAGTCGAAATGCCTGGTCTCATGGCATGTCGAACTGAGTTCGGCCCTGCCCAACCTTTCAAAGGAGCCAAAATCACAGGTTCCCTTCACATGACAATCCAAACCGCTGTCCTCATCGAGACCCTCACAGCCCTCGGAGCCGAAGTCCGGTGGTGCTCGTGCAACATTTTCTCCACCCAAGACCATGCCGCCGCAGCCATCGCTCGTGACTCCGCTGCCGTGTTCGCCTGGAAAGGTGAGACTCTCCAGGAATACTGGTGGTGCACTGAGAGATCGCTCGATTGGGGTCCCGGTGGCGGACCTGACTTGATCGTCGATGATGGTGGGGATGCTACGTTGTTGATCCATGAAGGTGTTAAAGCCGAGGAAGCTTTCGAGAAAACCGGGAAAGTTCCGGAACCTGCTTCGACTGATAATCCGGAGTTTCAGATTGTTTTTTCGATCATTAGAGATGGTTTGAAGGCTAATCCCAAGAGATTTACGAAGATGAAGGAGAGATTGGTTGGTGTTTCTGAAGAGACGACGACTGGTGTCAAGAGGCTTTATCAAATGGAGGCTAATGGAACCTTGTTGTTCCCTGCTATCAATGTCAATGACTCTGTCACCAAGAGCAAGGTATATAAAACACGTCAGATCTAAATGATCGATTCACGTTTACGTACATATATGTTTACAATTTGATTTTGATATTATTCGATCTAATTTATGAGTTATGATCTAATTGTTGTTATGATTTGATTTTATGGAACAGTTTGATAACTTATATGGATGCCGTCACTCACTTCCTGATGGCTTAATGAGAGCCACCGATGTCATGATTGCCGGCAAGGTCGTCGTTGTCTGCGGTTATGGTGATGTCGGAAAGGGTTGTGCTTCTGCCATGAAGCAAGCCGGAGCTCGTGTCATCGTGACTGAGATCGATCCGATCTGTGCCCTTCAGGCTCTAATGGAAGGGCTCCAGGTTCTAACTCTTGAAGATGTTCTTTCGGAGGCTGATATATTCGTCACCACGACTGGTAACAAGGACATCATAATGGTTGATCACATGAAGAAGATGAAAAACAACGCCATTGTTTGCAACATCGGTCATTTCGATAATGAAATCGACATGTTGGGCCTCGAAAAGTATCCTGGCATCAAGCGAGTCACCATTAAGCCTCAAACTGATAGGTGGATATTCCCTGAAACCAAGACAGGGATCATTCTGTTGGCCGAAGGCCGTCTCATGAACTTGGGATGTGCCACAGGTCACCCTAGCTTCGTGATGTCGTGTTCGTTCACGAACCAAGTGATCGCGCAGCTCGAGCTGTGGAAGGAGAAGGCGACCGGAAAATATGAGAAGAAGGTCTACGTTTTGCCAAAGCACCTCGACGAGAAAGTCGCGGCACTTCACCTAGGGAAGCTTGGAGCTAAACTCACCAAGCTCACCAAGGATCAAGCTGACTACATTAGTGTCCCAATTGAGGGTCCTTACAAGCCTCCTCATTATAGGTACTGAGGAGTGAACACGAGAGAGCGTTTGACTGAGGAACGGCGCATTCGGATGGTTTAATCGTTTCTTTTTACTGCAATTTATCTCATGATTTGTGGTAGGAGTTTTGTTTGGGTGGTGGGAAAGTTCTGGGGGAAAATGTGAATGGTATGGCCTATCATTCAAGAAAAACAAGAGCGGATGGGTTAAGAATAAGGTATCGGGGCTGTGTGGGAGATAAAATCATAATAGTTGCCATTGATGCAGCTCCAGTTTTATTGCATCTTGTTTATCAATTAATTATCCAAAACGAAGCAATTTGCTTTAACTGTTTCTGTTTCTTGGTTTACCCTCGAAGATGATGGAATCATACACATATTTAATCTTTTTAACTTACACGATGATTGATGCATGGCTTACATGAAGCGATTTATTTTTTCTATGATTTTTTAAAATATAATTATAAAATTTATTAATACAGTTCTATGACGTCGATCTAAAATATTATCTTTGCTAATATTAAATTTTATCATACAAAGAAGGGAAATTATATTTATCAAAATTTATTCAACAAATAGGTAGAGTGATTATTAATGATTTGTATTTAAATCTATTTGTCAAGTGTATAATATTTAAGTAGTGAATTTTAATTTATTTTCTTTACGTATTATATAAAAGAATGCAAAGATAAATCCCTTCAACTTTAATCGTTATTATTTTAATTTTTTTTCACTTCATAAAGAGTACAACCCCATTTTTTTTTATCAATCATGCATGGTTGTTTTCTTCCGGCTTCACGTGAGTGCTTAGAAATTGTAAAAATTGTTATATTATAATTTTAGATTTTTTAAAATTACATTATTAAAAAGATATTAAAAATACATTATTGATAATTATAAAATTTTAAAAATATATTTTTAAATGTAATATAAGATTTTTTGTAGGTTCAAATTCGAGTTTGAGTTTGAGCTTGAATCGAGATTCAATCGAGCTCCTGAAATTTTTTCAAGTTAAAGTCTTTTCGAGTTCGAGTTGAGTTTCAATATTATATTTCAAGTTCGAGCTGAGCTTGATAATTTTTAGCTTGCGAGTTTTCGAGTCGAGTCGAGCCTAATTTTAAACTTTCCAAATTCGAGTTAAACTCAACAATACTTGAACTCAACTCGACTCTTTTACAACCCTAATTACAACAAATAAATGTGAACAAATACCATGAGTGCACTACTTTTCTTCCATATAATCTTTTGATATATCATAATGATTAAATTCCAATTAAATAAGTTGATTGAAACTATCTTTTTCAGCTTTTCCTTTGACGTTGCTTTCATACTGTTTTGATTCTCTATTAGACGTTACTTTATTAAGTTTATTGACTATTAAAAATTATAAAATAATTCATTTATTATAGGATGTTGTTTTGTTGAGTCACCTGACTAAAACTCACAAAATGATCACCCGACTATTCATATATTATAAACTCGTCATTTTCATTAAAAAATTGGCGACCATCTAAGCCGGACATTAACTTGTTGACTGTGATATGATAAAATATGATCTCATAATCGTTTGAGAAGTATTGTATGGATCGATACTTCGTTTATATTACACTATTGAGCCAGTCTTGAAAGATTATACGTTGAGCCAGTCTTGAAAGTAATGTTGGTACCAGTAGACATTATTAAAATATAATTTTATTATATCTTAGTCAATAGGTTATTGTCTAGCTCAGATGACTACCATTTTTAACGAAAAAGACGAGTTTAGAACAAATGAATAGTTAAGCGATCATTTTGAAACTTTTAATAGTTAGTGGACTCAACAAAGTAACATCTTATAGTCAAATGACTATTTTATAATTTTTAATAATTAATGATCAACAAAACATTACCTATAATCTGGGGACCATTTATGCACTTTACCCTTAAAATTTATGTTCCTTTCCCTATAGACTCTACTAAATATATATATAAAAAGAAAAAAAGATATTTAAAATACTCCCTCCGTCCTATTAACTGTGTATCTTATTAACAAAACACGTAGTTTTAACAGATAAATTTGATCATGTGTAAAATAAGATAAATGATAAAAGTATTTATCAAAAAGTGATTGATAGATTTGTTTTGATATGTGTAAAAGGAAAAATGTAAAAAAATGTGTTATTTATTGATTTTTCTAATAAGATATTTTGAGTGAGAGAATTTTATAACTTAAAAATGACACATTTAATGAAATAGAAGGAGTACTTAACAGACAAGAAAGGAGATAAATATATCCCCATGAATCCACCTTCATATAGCATCGCTCAGCCATTCACATGGGAAAGTTTATAGTCCATAGTCTCCTATTACGTTGTTCTTTCTTTCCCTTTTCCATTCTTCTATTGGTTTGTCTTTCTTTTCTCTTTATCCAACTCCTTTGTGTCAACCGGCTGACAGCTCGGTCTTAATCCGATTCAAAAACACTTTGTCCATTGATGGGAATGTATCATGTCATGGCGCATCTTATCCCAAACAAAGTCGTGGAATGAAAGCACAGTTTGTTGCACATGGGAGGGTGTGACATGTAATAAGGTAACTGGTCAGGTGATTAGCCTGGACCTTAGTTGCTCTAACCTTGTTGGCTCTCTTTCTCTAAACACCTCCCTTTTCCGTATTCAAGGACTCCAACGACTCAACCTCGCCCACAACAATCTCAATGGCTCTTTGGTTCCGTCTGGGTTGAGTCAGTTAGTGAGTCTAACACATCTTAATCTTTCTGGCAATGAATTCTTCGGTTTAGTTCCATCGGATATTTCTTCGCATTTCACTTGATCTTTCCAGGAATCACTTGAGAATTAATAGCCACAATTTCCGTATGCTTACAGGTAACTTGTCTAAATTAGAGAATCTTGCCCTTGGGAGTTTATACATGTCTGATGTCGTGCCTACATCCATTTTAAACATGTCTTCATCTCTAAAGCAATTGAATCTCCATCATTGTATCTTTCGCCAAACATTTTGGGCTTCTTTTCTGCTGTGCTCTCTGACGCCAATTGCTAAGTGTTGCTTCCTGCTCGGTTCGCATGTTTACAAATAAGAAAGTAAATGTTGGTTTGGACGAGACTAATTTCCTTCTCTGGAAGCAGCAGGTCCTTTTCACGGTTCGTAGTCATTGGCTCGAACGGCTTCTCAATGGTACGATGATAGTACCGCCTGAATTTGTTGTTGATGAGAATGGAGTAGCTGTTGTCAATGAAGCGTTTGAAGACTTCATTGCACAAGATAGTGCTCTTGCCTCGTGGCTCTTGTCCACGATCAGTGCTTCGCTTCTACCTCAGTTTGTAGGAGCTGATTCCGCAGCGGTTGTTTGGCGTACTGTGGTGCAGTTTTTTGCCAACCGCTTGACAACAACGGTCATGAATTTACACTACAAGCTGCAGTCGTTGAGGAAAGGTGATGACTCCATACGTGTATATCTCACACGCATCAAGGAGATTTGTGATGCCCTCGAGTCGTGTGGCAGCCCTGTGTCACAAGTTGAGCATGTTGTGAGCGTCTTGAAAGGCTTGCCAAGAGAGTATCAATCCTTTATGGCGGTAATTACCACGAGTCCAAATTCACTTACTTTGGACCGGATCTATTCCATGCTTATTGATGCCGAGACTCAATTGGCTGGATTTGATTCTCATCCTGAGAATTTTCTGATGAGTGCCAACGTTGCGCAAGACCAAACTCTTGCAACTGCTACTGCTTCGGATAGTACTCACGATTACAAACCACATCAGTTTGCCTCGATGCGTGGAGGACGGTCTGGTGGCAGAAGTCGAGCCCGCCTGTAGTGTCAATTATGTGGCAAGAATGGCCACTCGGTTGACAGATGCTGGTACTGGTTTGATCGTGATTTTGTTGGTGTCCTAGCAAATAATGATCAGTCAAAATCTAAGGGTGAATCCAGCAGTGTCAACTATGTGAGCCTCGACAATGTTGGTTGTGCATGTTGTGCCAGTAAACATGGTGTTGCTTCGGTGCAAGCTGGTGGTGCCTCTCAGGCTAATTTTGCTGCACCTCATCGTGCTCAGTGGGTGGTTGATTCGGGTGCCAAACATCACGTGACCCCGGATGCATCCAACATAGCTCACATCACTGACCTTGATTGTCCAGGTAACCTATTAGTTGGAAATGGAGTTTCCCTTAGTGTAAATACGGTTGGTAAATCCTTGTTACATTCAGCGTCATCCTCACGAGCTTTGTTGCTCACAGAATTATTACATGTGCCCCAGATTACTAAACATCTTCTTTTGGTGTCAAAGCTTACTAGGGATAATCACGTATTCTTCGAGTTTCATGCGGATGGATGTTGCATTCGTGATGAGGCATCTGGCGAGGTTATACTACGATGCAATCAGCAAGGTGGCCTTTATACCTTTGCATTGGATAATAATAGTTCAAGTGCTTGTAATAAACCAAAGGCTTTTTCGGTGAATGTCTCTTGTAATGCTCTTGATCTGTGGCATAGGAGATTAGGACACCCAGTCTTTCCCATTTTAAAGTCTGTTTGTAAGACAATTGTTATTGATATTTCGAATAATGCAAATCACACGTGTGTTACTTGTTGCTTGGGTAAAAGTCACAAGTTACCCTTTACTTAGTCCAATACCTTATATGATGTTCCATTTCAGCTTGTTTTCTTTGATCTTTGGGGGCCTTCACCTGAGCCCTCGGCTGGAAATAGATATTACATTTCGTTTGTGGATGCGTGTATAAGATACACATGGGTGTATTTTTTGAAGGATAAGTCACAGGCAATTGTAGCGTTTCGAATGTTCCAAAGTATGGTTAAGACACAATTCTCTCTACCTATAAAAGCTGTGCAAAGCGACTGGGGAGGAGAATACAGAAACTGGGCGAATGAATTAACCCGAGAAGGTGTTTTACACAGGGTCACGTGTCCTCACACATCTGAACAAAATGGGGTAATGGAACGTAAGCATCGACACTTAATAGAGTTGGCGCTTGTATTGTTAGCTCAAGCCTCTCTTCCAGTTATTTTTTGGTCATATGCAGCAGCTACTGCAGCTCACCTTGTGAACAGATTGCCTACCAACGTGCTCGACAACATTTCACCGTTCGAGAAGCTATTTGATAAGAAACCAGACTATAAAGTGCTACGTGTGTTTGGTTGTAGGTGCTTCCCACACCTACGGGCATTTCAACTACACAAATTGATGCCCCAATCCAGAGTATGCACGTTCTTGGGTTATAGCACTCAACATCGAGGGTTTCAGTGCATTGACTCCAATGGTCGAGTGTTTATTAGAAAGCATGTTAAATTTGATGAGTTTGTTTTCCCTTTTGCAGAAACAAAGACTACTGCATGTTGTCATGCTCAACCTTCGTCGAAATCAGCAGCTCTTGAGGTTGTTGCTAAGCGTCACAAGCCGTGTCTTCAAGAAGTACTGCCACAACATGTATCCACTAGTGACACTTCACTTGTAGGTGCTGTATTGAGTGAAGATAGTCACGATTCCTTGGTGGACGGGGCCGATCTGACCAATAGTGATAATGTTCTCTTGTTGCTTTTGTTTTCCCTTTTGCAGAAACAAAGACTACTGCATGTTGTCATGCTCAACCTTCGTCGAAATCAGCAGCTCTTGAGGTTGTTGCTAAGCGTCACAAGCCGTGTCTTCAAGAAGTACTGCCACAACATGTATCCACTAGTGACACTTCACTTGTAGGTGCTGTATTGAGTGAAGATAGTCACGATTCCTTGGTGGACGGGGCCGATCTGACCAATAGTGATAATGTTCTCTTGTTGCTTGCTGAAGGTTCTTCCTCAAGTGCTGGTTCGAGTAGTAATGGTGAGGACAATGCCAATGTGCAGCCTGTCAATGAAGCCTCAATTGAGTCTGCTGGTGAAGCTTCAGTTGATGTTGTCCCTGTTACCAACAACCACCCCATGCTTACACGCAGTAAGTGTGGTATATTCAAACCGAAAGTGTTTGTTAGTGAGGTTGGTGGGACAATTCCTACTGATGTTCATCAGGCTATGAAATCGAGCAACTGGGCAGCTTCTGTGCAGAATGAACTAGCAGCCTTACAACGGAATGGTACGTGGTCGTTGGTGACATTGTCAGCTGGACGAACAGCTGTTGGGTGCAAATGGTTGTTCAAGTTAAAACAGAATCCGGATGGCATCGTCAATCGTTACAAGGCACGCCTTGTTGCAAAGGGTTTTTCACAAGTGCCAGGGCAAGATTTTAAAGAGACTTTCAGTCCAGTGGTCAAGTTTCCAACGCTAAATGTTGTGCTGTCTCTTGCTGTCATAAACAGATGGTCCCTAAGGCATGTAGATGTGAACAACGCCTTCTTAAATGGTGATTTGAGTGAGGATGTCTTTATGCAACAGCCGCTTGGCTTTGAACAAACTGCTGCAGATGACACTAAACTTGTGTACAAACTTCATAAGGCCCTTTATGGGTTGCGCCAAGCACCAAGAAATTGGTATTCTAAGTTGAAGGACAGCCTGCTGCAAATGGGGTTTTGGCCATCGAAAGCTGATGTTTCATTGTTCATCACTCGTGCCCGTGGTGTATCAACATATGTGCTCGTTTATGTCGATGACATCCTTGTTACTGGTGAGACTGTTGATGAAGTTGAACGAGTGGTACAAATGCTTCATGATAATTTTTCCTTAAAAGACCTTGGAGACCTAAAGTACTTTCTAGGTATTGAAGTTCAAAGATGTGATGATTCCCTAGTGCTCAGTCAAAAAAAGTTTGTTTTAGAGTTACTGGAGAAAACGAATATGTTAAAGGCCACACCAACTGCCACACCTATGACTGTCAACAACAAGCTCTGCAGTGATGGAGGTAAATTATTAGAGAATGCACGAGAATTTCGAAGTATAGTAGGAGCATTATTGTATGTTTGCCATACGAGGCCGGATGTAGCCTACAGTGTGAGCAAGGTGGCTCAATTTATGCATGCACCACGAGAGTGTCATATGCTGGCTGCAAAACACATATTACGTTATCTAGCTGGGACTGTCGAGTTTGGACTTGTGTTTTCACCTTCCAAAGAAGCAATGCATGTAAAGGCTTTTGCAGATGCTGACTGGGGTGGATGTGTTGATGATCAACGATCCATGACAGGTTATTGTGTCTACGTTGGCAGCAACATGGTGTCGTGGACTGCTAAGAAGCAGAAGGTAGTTTCTAGATCAACCATGGAAGCTGAATATCGAAGCTTAGCTGATGCAGCAGCAGAGGTTACTTGGGTGGATGCACTCCTAATTGATCTAGAAGTAAAACGACATGAATGCCCTATTATATGGTGTGACAACACCAGTGCGATTGCGTTGAGCGCCAATCCGATCCATCATGCACAGTCAAAACATGTGGATTTGGATGTTCACTTTGTAAGGGAAAAGATTGCAGCCAACCAGTTATGCGTTAGCTATGTTCCTGCTGCACATCAAACCACTGATGGCCTAACAAAACCATTGACTAAGACAGCGTTCACCACATTTCGAGCGAGAGTTAATGTGATGCTGCTGAAAGGTGAAGAAGAAGGAAAAGTAGGGAGAATGTTGAGAGATCACGTGTAAAGTGTGCACATAATTAGTGTGTCCTCGAGCGTATGCAAGCAAAGCCTCAGACTGTTAGTCAGGTAGGCGTGCTGTTATGCAAACGGTTTCTTACTTTTGTAGCTATAAAAGCAGTCTTGCTCAGCTTTGTAAAATGTGAAATACAAACTACAATTTTTCAACTTGTCTTGAGTTTCTAATAATCTTGGTGATAACTCTTTAACAGGTTATCTCCCCAAGTCCAATTGGAGTAGTCCTCTGGTTCTTGGACCTTTTGATCAATAATTTTCGAGGCTCAATTCCTGCATCCCTTGGAAACCTCACAAAAACCACCTCTTTAAGTTTTGGAGCCAACAATTTCGGAAGCCAAATTCCAGATGTTTTTGGAAACCTCAACAAACTTACTATTCCGGATTTCCATTACTGTAATATTAGCGGTGAACTTCCCTCATCTTTGTTCAACCTCACACACCTTACTTCTTTACATTTATCATCGAATAGGATACAAGGTCCCCTCCCAACTCATGTCAGCGGCCTTCTGAGTCTAGAAGTTTCGGAATTATTTGATAACTTGCTCAGTGCTGCAATTCCATCATAGCTTTTCACTCTGCCATTTGTAGAAACTTTAGACCTCAGTCGTAAAAGGTTCACCGCTCTTCCCAATCAGATTCAAGAGCCTATTTCAGTCCAACATGTTTCTTTGGCTCATAATGACATACATGGTGAAATACCAAGTTTCTTCTTTGGTCTTGTAAATCTTGTGGAGCTTGATCTGTCATCAAATAATTTTAGTGGTGTTATCAAGTTAGATGAGCTATCCAAGCTGAAGAATCTCACAGAGCTTGATCTTTCATCAAATAATTTCAGTGGTGTCATCAAGTTAGATGAGCTACCAAGCTGAAGAATCTCACAGAGCTTGATCTTTTAAATAACAAGTTGCTATCTTGGAGTAGTGACAATGGTGTTAACTCTTCTTTTCCAAAGTTCCAAACTTTATCCATGTCTTCTTGCAACGTTAAGCGGTTCTCGCATGTTTTACAGTCAGCAAAAAGCTTGAAACAACTTGATCTTTCCAATAACAAAATTCAAGGTTCAATTTTAAAGTGGGAAACAGAGGGTTGGGAACAATTGTTGACTTTAAATGTTTCTCACAACTTGTTGATTGGTTTAGAGCAATTTCCAGGGAAGAATCTTATAATCCTTGATCTTCATTCCAACCTACTCCAAGGCCATCTTCCAGTTGATCTGCCATTATTGTTGCAAGAATTCTATATTTCAGAAAACAAACTGACAGGAGAAATCCCTCCTTCAATTTGTAATTTGACTTTACTTAAAATTATTGACTTGTCTAGATATTACTTGACTGGAAACATTCCGCCTTGTGTTGGAAATTCAAGCTCTTTCATCTCAACCATAAACCTACAAGTTCATTGACGCCAGACAGAATAGTGATTATCTTGTAGGCTAGCTCCGACAGACGATTCACAAGAGAAAATTCGCCCAAAAACCAGAGAAAAAAAGTCTCTAGGGTTTAATAAAATATTATAAAATCAATAACTATCAAAAGCAGTCCACAAGCCGGACTGTTATAGCAAAAAAAAATCGTCTTTATTCGAATTTTGCCAAAAATAGCAAAAATCATATTTATTCGAATTTTGCCAAAAATAGCAAAATCCCGAAAATCACTCTAAATTGAAATTCGAAATAAAATAAGCAATCTCCCAAAAATCCGGTCTAAATCGGATTTAAATTGACTTCCTAATTAACAATCGAAATATTACCATAAATAGTAAAAAATAACTAAATCTAGTGATTCGGAGAGGAAAACGGCAGAATTTGAGGTTGAAAAAAAGGCCACATGGAGCGTAGCTCGATGTGGAGAGCGTGCGCGTCGAAAAGAGCTTTCCGGATTGGGGTCTTATGCGCGATTCTGACACCTGTAGCCAAAGTTATGGCCAAAAGACTGAAACATACTCAAATCGACCCCAATAAGGAACATGTCACAATCAATTCCCGCCTTTGCGCTGATCTGCCAACTCATGGTATCTCAGCGCCATCAACGTGCAATCTGACAGCTCAGCATCATCTGTCTCGGATCCCCCTGCATCAGTCACCCCGGGTTGGAAAGAACTCGTCCTCGAGTTCAGAGTAGTGTCATCAGGATCCACAAAACAATGACTCAGGTGCTTCACATTAAAGACATCAGAAGTCTTCAAGTGACTGGGAAGTCGCAACCTGTAAGAATTATCATTGATCTTTTGCACGACCTCACAAGGTCCAATCTTCCGATCCTTAAGCTTATTATACTCACCAACAGGAAAACGATCACGAGTTAATACAGCCCAAACAAAATCACCAACATCAAAAAGTACCTGACGACGATGATTGTCGACCCGAGTCTTGTACTTGGTATTGCTCTCATGAATGATCTGTTTCACCTGCTCATGGATACCCCGAAGATACTTTGCCATCTCATCTGCTTTAGGACTGAAACGTCCTATACGTGGAATAGGGGCTAAGTCCAACACCCCGGATGGGTTCTGACCATAGACAATCTCAAATGGGCTTAAACCTGTGGTTCTGTTTTTTGATCTGTTGTAGGCAAATTCTGCCTGAGGCAATGCCAAATCCCACTGCTTCGGCTTCGTTCCTGCCAAACACCTTAAAAGGTTTCCCAAACTTCAGTTCACCACCTCAGTCTGGCCATCCGTCTGGGGGTGGTAGGCGCTACTGAAATTCAACTGTGTTCCCAGTTTCCCCCACAGGCTCTTCCAGAAATGACTGATGAACTTAGTATCACGATCTGAAGTGATGGATCGAGGAACACCATGTAAACGCACAATCTTCTTGAAATAGAGATGGGCAATCCGGTCAGCATCCATAGTCTTTCTGCAAGCTACAAAATAAGCCATCTTGGAAAACCTGTCAACCACAACAAAGATAGAATCAGAGGCCCTTTGGGTGCGGGGTAAGCCTAGTACAAAATCCATGCTGACATCGAACCAAGGAGCTTCAGGAACAGGTAAGGGAGTGTACAATCCCGCATTGGTGAGAACTCCCTTAGACCGCTGGCACACATAACAACGGTCCACATAATGGGTCACATCACTAGTCAACTTGGGCCAATAAAATTCAGAAGAGATAAGGGCCAATGTCTTATCTCGGCCAAAGTGTCCCTCATTATGGAGTTCACTTATAATTTGCTGCCTCAATGAATAATCTGGAATGCACAATTGTAATCCACGAAACAGATACCCATTATGCAAAACAAAATCATGACGGTGACCCTCAGTTACCTCCTGAAATATCCTTCCAAAGGAAGGATCAGCTGCATACATATCTGTGAACGTCTCAAATCCTGCAACTTTAGTACTCATGGTGGTGAGAAGTAAGGTACGATGGCTCAGGGCATCTGCGCCGCGGTTCAAACTCCCTGCTTGGTGCCTCAGCGTAAAAGTGAATTCTTGCAAGTATGCTACCCACTTGGCATGACGTCTACTCAGCTTGTGTTGGCCATTGATGTACTTCAAGGCCTCATGATCGGTAAACAGAATAAACTCCTTCTGTACTAGGTAGTGACGCCAATGCTTCAGGGACTGAACTATGGCATAGAACTCCAGATCATAAGTGGAATAATTTTTCTTTGATCCCGATAGCTTCTCACTGAAAAAAGCAACCAGACGACCTGCTTGACTCAGAACACCACCAATGCCAACGCCAGATGCATCACAATTTACCTCGAACACTTTGTCAAAATCTGGAAGTGCCAAAACTGGAGCCTCGGTCATCTTCTGCTTGACCAGTTGAAAACTGGCCTCTGCCTCCTCAGACCACTGGAAATCACGCCCCTTGAGGCACTCTGTGATAGGGGTGATCAGAGTACTGAAATTTCTAATGAATCGACGGTAAAAAGACGCCAAGCCATGGAAACTTCGGATGTCATGTAAGGTTCTTGGTCTGGGCCACTCCAAGACTGCATCTATTTTTGACTGATCTGCATGAACACCATCAGTAGACACAACAAAACCAAGAAAAGTCACAGAAGTAGTGAAGAAAGAACACTTCTTTTGATTGACAAACAAGCACTCCGTTTTCAGCATCTCAAAAACAGCACAGAGGTGATCGAAGTGTGAAGTCCATGTCGGACTATAAACGAGGATATCATCGAAGTAAACTACAACAAATTTCCCCATAAAAGGCCGCAAGACCTGATGAATAAATCTCATGAATGTACTGGGCGCATTGGATAACCCAAAAGGCATGACCATCCACTCATACAACCCTTGTGGCGTTTTAAACGCCGTCTTCCACTCATCTCCAGGCCTTATTCTGATTTGGTGGTAACCGCTCTTAAGGTCAATTTTTGAGAAGATCTTAGAACCAGATAGCTGATCCAACATATCATCTAGACGGGGAATTGGAAACCGGTACTTCACTGTAATTCTGTTGATCGCTCGGCTGTCAACACACATACGCCAAGAACTATCTTTCTTTGGCACTAACAGAGCAGGGACTGCACATGGGCTCATACTCTCTCGGATATAGCCCCTCTCCAACAACTCTTCCACCTGTCGCTGCAACTCTTCGGCCTCCTTGGGACTGAGGCGATATGCTGGTCGATTTGGCAAACTTGACCCAGGAACATGGTCAATTTGATGCTGAATATCCCTCATAGGTGGTAGTCCAGGAGGAAGATCCTCTGGCATCAAGTTAGAGAATTCTGCTAGCAACCGCTGCACCTCTACTGGTAAATCTGTATCCACGTCTACTGCATTGTTCTCGCAAGGTAGCAAGGCATAGACCACGTCGCCATGCTCAATCTCATCTAAAAAACTGGACATAGAAAGCAGATTAGTATTATGGGTTACTGGGGTAGGAGTAAGTCCTTCCCGCCGGGGTGCCAACACAATCTTTTTTCCCTTGATGCTAAGGGAATATGTATTCTTCCGTCCATCATGAATGACACTGCGATCATACTGCCAAGGTCGACCCAACAATATATGACACGCATCCATAGACACAACATCACACCAGGCATTATCAAAATATTTTCTACCAATTGAAAAAGACACCAGGCATCGCCTATCAACTGTTACCTCACTGTCTTTATTTAGCCATGACAACTTGTATGGCTTAGGATGACGGTCCGTCTTCAACTGCAATTTCTGGACAACCTCCTCGGACACTACATTCTCACAACTGCCGCTGTCAATGATCATTTTGCAGACTTTATCTGCAACTGTGCAAGTCGTGTGGAAAATATTGGTTCTCAACCAATCGTCCCCTGAATCGCCCTTGGGGGTAAGTAGACTCTTGCGAACGACCAGAGTCTCATGACCATCTCCATACAGCACATCATCAGTCTCATCATCGTCATACACGGGTTCGCCAATCTCCTCAGTCTCGTCTTCCACGTTTTCCTCAATCAACAAATTTTTTCCCTTTTGACTATCAGGCTTCCTGCAATCAGTCGCCCTATGCTCTTGTTCACCACAACGAAAACATCTAATAGTAGGGTTAGAATTACCCTGCGGTGGCTGCTGAGCAGGACGTGACTCTTGAGGGCGAACTGGTCGACTGTTGTGATCCTGATCACTGGTCTCCTGTTTTGCTGTTTTTCAACAGCAAGTGCACGCTGGTATGCTTCCGAAACACTCCACAATGAATGAAGGCTGAGGACATCTTGCAAGGGCTGGCGTAAACCCCCCAAATATCGCGCCACCATCTGCTCCTCCGTCTCAGATAAATTGTTCCGGGCGACCAATTGGTAAAACTCCTCCGTGTAATCATCGACTGATCGCGCGCCCTGCCTCAACGCATGAAGTCGTTGAAATAAGGTTTGCGTGTAGCCGAAGGGAAGGAAGTGGCCCTTCATCTTCTTTTTCATCTTCTCCCAATCAGTGATCTTGGCTTTACCCTGTCTTTCTCGTGAACGTCGTAACTGTTCCCACCACGCAGATGCTCTGCCCTTGAGTTTGATGGCGATCAGTTTCACTTTCACACGATCGGGGACTTCCTTATATTCAAAAATACGCTCCACTTCATTAATCCAATCCACGAATCCCTCGGCCTGTAATGTACCAGAAAACTCAGGGAGATCGACCCGAAAACCGAGGTCTCCATGACGCTCCTCCCGACCACGGTGCTCCCGGAATCCTGCGCCCCGGAATCCTGCGCGATTGTGATATGGTTTTCGAAAGTGGAATTGGTATCGTGATCAGAGGCCTCACGATCCTCTAAATCCTGCGCCGCCAGGCGCTGGGTTAATTCTGCGACTTGCCTCTGCAAATCCGCAATCATCACATCCTGAACGCTGCGATCACGACGTTGGGCTTCCTCATTCGGAACCTGCTCACGACGACCACGACCACGACCTCCAGCCATTAAAACTGGTGAAATTTCCCAAGAAGATGTTGAAGCTCTGACACCAACTGACGCCAGACAGAATAGTGATTATCCTGTAGGCTAGCTCCGACAGACGATTCACAAGAGAAAATTCACCCAAAAACCAGAGAAAAAAAGTCTCTAGGGTTTAATAAAATATTATAAAATCAATAACTATCAAAAGCAGTCCACAAGCCGGACTGTTATAGCAAAAAAAATCGTCTTTATTCGAATTTTGCCAAAAATAGCAAAAATCGTATTTATTCAAATTTTGCCAAAAATAGCAAAATCCCGAAAATCACTCTAAATTGAAATTCGAAATAAAATAAGCAATCTCCCAAAAATCCGGTCTAAATCGGATTTAAATTGACTTCCTAATTAACAATCGAAATATTACCATAAATAGTAAAAAATAACTAAATCTAGTGATTCGGAGGGGAAAACGGCAGAATTTGAGGTTGAAAAAAAGGCCACATGGAGCGTAGCTCGATGCGTAGCTCGATGTGGAGAGCGTGCGCGTCGAAAAGAGCTTTCCGGATTGGGGTCTTATGCGCGATTCTGACACCTGTAGCCAAAGTTATGGCCAAAAGACTGAAACATACTCAAAACGACCCCAATAAGGAACATGTCACAATCAATTCCCGCCTTTGCGCTGATCTGCCAACTCATGGTATCTCAGCGCCATCAACGTGCAATCTGACAGCTCAACATCATCTGTCTCGGATCCCCCTGCATCATTCATGGCTACAGTTTGCTAGTTCTTTCCCTTAACGATAACCAATTGGAAGGGCCATCCAGACCTGCAAGTTTTGATCATGCGATCCAATGGGTTTCATGGTCCCTTGAACATTTCCTAACATGTTAATTCTGCGCCGCCAGGCGCTGGGTTAATTCTGCGACTTGCCTCTGCAAATCCGCAATCATCACATCCTGAACGCTGCGATCACGGCGTTGGGCTTCCTCATTCGGAACCTGCTCACGACGACCACGACCACGACCTCCAGCCATTGAAACTGGTGAAATTTCCCAAGAAGATGTTGAAGCTCTGACACCAACTGACGCCAGACAGAATAGTGATTATCCTGTAGGCTAGCTCCGACAGACGATTCACAAGAGAAAATTCACCCAAAAACCAGATAAAAAAAGTCTCTAGGGTTTAATAAAATATTATAAAATCAATAACTATCAAAAGCAGTCCACAAGCCGGACTGTTATAGCAAAAAAAATCGTCTTTATTCGAATTTTGCCAAAAATAGCAAAAATCGTATTTATTCGAATTTTGCCAAAAATAGCAAAATCCCGAAAATCACTCTAAATTGAAATTCGAAATAAAATAAGCAATCTCCCAAAAATCCGGTCTAAATCGGATTTAAATTGACTTCCTAATTAACAATCGAAATATTACCATAAATAGTAAAAAATAACTAAATCTAGTGATTCGGAGGGGAAAACGGCAGAATTTGAGGTTGAAAAAAAGGCCACATGGAGCGTAGCTCGATGCGTAGCTCGATGTGGAGAGCGTGCGCGTCGAAAAGAGCTTTCCGGATTGGGGTCTTATGCGCGATTCTGACACCTGTAGCCAAAGTTATGGCCAAAAGACTGAAACATACTCAAAACGACCCCAATAAGGAACATGTCACAATCAATTCCCGCCTTTGCGCTGATCTGCCAACTCATGGTATCTCAGCGCCATCAACGTGCAATCTGACAGCTCAACATCATCTGTCTCGGATCCCCCTGCATCATTCATGGCTACAGTTTGCTAGTTCTTTCCCTTAACGATAACCAATTGGAAGGGCCATCCAGACCTGCAAGTTTTGATCATGCGATCCAATGGGTTTCATGGTCCCTTGAACATTTCCTAACATGTTAAACCATCCTTTCAGTCATTGAAGATTGTTGATCTATCTAGCAATGAATTTACGGATCCCTTGCCTTCAACTTTCTTCCAAAATCTGCATGCTCTCAAGGTTGCAACAAACATAGGTTATCCAATGGAACATTACCTACTGCTCTTGGCTGGACTCACTAGAGATGTTCTGCTTAGTGTAACGTCAAAAAGATCAGAGATGGAGCTAAATCAAACAAGAGCGTCAACGTCATTGATTTTTCAAACAATCGATTCGTTGGAGAAATGCCCAACTCAATTGGAGAGCTTTGCATAATTCAAGTGCTCAACCTGTCTCACAACGGCTTCATCGGTCATATCCCACTGTCGTTGGGGAACTTAGTAGCACTTCAATCGTTGGATCTTTCATCAAACAAGCTCAGTGGTGAGATTCCATCCCAGTTGACAAACCTGACGTTTCTTGAAGTGTTAAACTTCTCGCAGAACAATCTCGTGGGATACATTCCCAATGGAAAACAATTCAGCACATTTGAGAATGATTCCTACATTGGAAACTTGGGGTTATGTGGCTTCCCCCTGGCAAAGCAATGCGACAATGGCCCCAGACAGGGACCGAAACCGCCTGCACTGAAGTTGATGGAAGATGGTGGTTCTGCAGTAAGTTTCTTTTGGAAACTTGTAATGATGGGACGCGGAAGTGGAGTTGTGGTAGGAATAAGCACAACCTACATTGTGTTCACCACTGGAAGGCCATGGTGATTAGTGAGAATCGTGGAAAGAGATTTGCAAAGGAATTTTACAAGGTGGGTTCGCAGAATCCAAGGAAAAAGAAACATCCACTGAATGACAAATTCCAAGGTGCGTTTTTTTAACTATCTATTAGTTTCTCGTTGATTTTGTAGTCTTGAAATTAGACTTATTCTTTTCCCTACCAATTGTCATATATAGTAGTTGGAACTGAAACTGGGGGAAGAAGCACCGTTGCTTGCTGCTGGAAATATTTGGCTAGAAAGAGCTTGTTTTCTGGGTTCATTTTCAGTGTCAGTGATTTGAAGATAGGGTTCAAGGTGTTGTTGGAAGATAACTTGCATTGTTTATTGTCCAATTTGATTATATCAGTGTCTGCACTTGTAAACGATTGTATTTATGTGCTCTAGCTACGTTTGTGAGACAGATGTTTGTTGTTTTAGTTTCAGGGCATCCTTTTCATTTTCTTGTTTGCAAAAGCTGTCTTTTGGCGCGTTTTCTTCATACTTCTTTGAGTTTAAACTACCTTTAATGCAAAATAAAACCATTGTCTATACCTACCTTTCATTGAATTTATTTAATATTTTATATTTCTAAATAGAATATAAAATTTATCTGTTATATTGAAGAACAAGGAGAGAATTAAAACATGAGAGGAAACGAGGACGCATTGTTTATTGATAAAAGGAAAACATGTCAAAAAAAATATAGGAGACGGCCCAATGTTTAGTAAACTCAAACCGAGAGAAGCAAACATGTCATTTAGGCTCCTTGGCAGCAGTTGTCTGGGCTTGACTCTTGCTCGTCTGCTTCTCTCGGTTTGAGTTTGCTTAACATTGTCCCACAAACATAGCTAAAGTACATAAACACAATAGTTTGTAAGTGCAGACTCTGATATAATCAAATTGAAATATAAACAATGCAAATTATCTTCCAACAACACCTTGAACCCTATCTTCAAATCATTAACACTGAAATTGAAACCAGAAAACAAGCTCTTTCTAGCCAAATCTTTCCAGCTGCAAGCGACGGTGCATCTTCCCCCAGCTTCAGTTCCAACCACTATATATGACAATTGGTAGGAAAAAGAATGTCTAATTTCTAGACTACAAAATCAATGACAAACTCAAATTTTTTTTAGAAAATGCAGTGAAAAGAAAGAAAGACTCAAATGAGGTAACGTGATATTTATTTTCTCAACTAGGGTATTTGCTATAATGTAAATAGGAAGACGTCAAGATCACATGGCAACCTCTAAAATATGTTCGGACAATCCGATTGCACAACTCATCGAACTGTATATAGCATGGAGAAGATGTCTTGTCTTCCATGCATCTTCCCCAAAGACCGTCCGTTTTTACAAAGAGGCCAAATACTCCATTCGTCTTCTTTCCACTTATATTGTAACAAATACCCTAGTTTTCCCCATCATCCTATTTGAGTCCTTCCTTTTTCTAAGTTCTAACTGTATTATCTAAGAAATTTTGCCAGATAAATTGCTAAAAACGCACCTTGGAATTTGTCATTCAGTGGATGTTTCTTTTTCCTTGAATTCTATGAACCCAACTTGTAACATTCCTTTGCAATTCTCTTTCCACTATCCTCACTAACCACCGTGGCCTTCCAGCGGTGAACACAATGTATGCAGTGCTTATTCCTACCACAACTCCACTTGCGTATCCCATCAGTACAAGTTTCCAAAAGAAACTTACTGCTGAACCACCACCATCTTTCTTCGACTTCGGTGAAGGCGGTTCTGGCCCCGGCCATTGCCGCATTTCTTTGTCAGGGGAAGCCACATAACCCCAGGTTTCCCATGTAGGAATCTTCTCAAAGGTGTTGAATTGTTTTCCATTGGGGATGAGTCCCATGAGATTATTGTGCGAGAAATTTAACACTTCAAGAAATGCCAGGTTTGTCATCTGGGATGAATCTCACCATTGAGCTTGTTTGATGAAAGATCCAACGATTGAAGTGCTACTACGTTCCCCAAAGACGTGGGATGTGACCGCTGAAGCCGTTGCAAGACAGGTTGAGCACTTGAATTGCCCAAAGCTCTCCAATTGAGTTGGGGATTATTCCACTGAATCGATTGTTTGAAAAATCAATGGTAGTGTAAAAGGCCAAAGCTCTTATTGACTGTAGCTCCATCTCTAATCATTTTGACGTTAGATTCACAGAAACCACACCATCACCCCTCGATGTACGAACGGAAAACCATGTTCTTCAGGTTCTTACATCCTTGAGAGCATGCAGATTTTGGAAGAAAGTTAAATGCAAGGGACCTGTAAATTCATTGTTAGATAGATCAACAATCTTCAATGATGGAAAGGATGGTTAATGGTTTAACATCTTCTGAAGTGTTCAAGGGACCATGAATGAAACCCATTGGATTCGCATGACTAACACTTGCAGCAATGGAAGAGTACCCAACCAGAGGGGAAAGGTATCACTTGTTATTTGCAACATTTAAAATTCTCAAGTACATTTGATCAAGGATCGTGGAAAATACCCTTCCAATTGGTTGTCGTTAAGGGAAAGAACATTCAAACGGTAGCCGTGAACGTAAAAGTCAGGGATTTTGCCGCTCACGTTATTCTTTTTTAGGTTTATGGTTGAGATGAAAAAGCTTGAGTTTCCAACACAAGCCGGAACGTTTCCTCTGAAGTTGTTTCTAGACAAGTCAAGAACATAAAGTGAAGTCAAATTACAAATTGAAGGAGGGATTTCTCCTGTCAATTTGTTTTCTGAAATCAAAAATTTTCGCAATGATGATGGCAGATCAATCGGAACAAGACCTTGGAGTAGGTTGTGAGAAAGATCAAGTTCTGCCAAGCTTTTTGCTGATCGTAAAACATTCGGGAACCACTTAACGTTGCAAGAAGACATGGATAAAGTTTGGAGCTTTTGAAATAGAGTTAACGTCTAACATGATGACACCACTGAAATTATTTGATGAAAGATCAAGCTCGACAAGATTTACAAGACCAAAGAAGAAATTTGGTATTTCACCATCTATGTCATTATGAGCCAAATGAACTCATTGGACTAGATTAGGCTTTTGAATCTGATTGGGAAGAGCGGTGAACCTATTATGGCTGTGGTCTAAAAATGGCAGAGTGAAAAGCCAAGATGTAAAGAAGTAAGGTGTGTGAGGTTGAACAATTGTTGGCTCCAAGACTTGAAGTGGTGATTCTGTGAGGTTTCCAAGAGATGCAGGAATTGAGCCTCGAAAATCATTAAACAAAAGGTCCAACAATCAGAGTGGACTACTCCAATTGGACTTGGAGAGAGAACCTGTCAAGAGTTATCACCAAGGTCAAGATACTCTAGGTACCCAAGCTGGAATATTTCACTAGGGAATTCCCCTTGTAACTTACAAGCAAAGACACCCAATTGCTTTAGAGATGAAGACATGTTTAAAAAGGATGTAGGCACAACATCAGACATGTCTACAGCCCCAAGGGCAAGATTCTCTAATTTAGAACAGTGGCTGCGACGACCTAATTATAAGACAGAAGAAGAAGCGGCAGAAGCAGAGGTGAACAATTAGCTGAGAGATGACGCAATTATTATGGTTAAGTGAGGATTTAGAGAGGTGACAGACACCATATTAGGTTTGCAAGTGCAGACAATGATATGATCGAATTGAACAATAAACAATGCAAGTTATCTTCCAACAACACCTTGAACAAACCCAGAGATTTTATATATGTATTTTATATTGAAAACCTGTTTTTCTCCTCTTGAAATTTTATAAGTTCGTCATTTCTTAAAAAAATTTACTAGCATTAAATCTTGCGTCACTTCCTAAACAAACCTTTATGTTCAACATCATTGTCATTCAGTAGATGTTTCTTTTTCCTTCGCAACATTTTCTTGGTTCATGAGAATCGTTGAGAGAGATTCGCAAAGGAATGTTACAAGGTGGATTCGTAGAATTCAAGGAAAAACAAGCATCCATTGAATGACAAATTCAATGGTGATCAGTTACATGTTAACATTGAGAACATGTTACAACTTTGTTTATGAAGACTTGGTTTTGCTCGAATCCGATATGTACTGTTTTGTTTTCATTGTCGTTTGCTGATAAGATTCCTGCATGATCTGTCTAAATATACAGGGTACGTTGGGTGCGCCATAGCAAGTAAAATGGTTCTGTTTTTCAAAACCAAAGACGGGTCATGGAGTCATGTCTTCGTCTCTCTTGACGATAATTTTCTGTAATTCGCCAACTGGTTTCACAGAGATGTCCGACAATATAACATCGAGGACCCTAAAAATCCGGTCTTGGCTGGCCAAGTATGGGTTGGAGGATTAATTCAAAAGGGAAGCCATATAGTGGTGACAAAAGGTGGTAAAACAATGGCAATCTGATGTTCCACAAATCCAGGTCTGTTCTAAGTTCTAACATTCATATCAATGGTGATAGATTAACATTGTTACATTCTTTACAGGGGAATAGTCAGAGAAGGGGATCACAGATGATCCAGTTGAGCTTAGATGGGAAGCGACGCTTGCCTGGCTCATGAGATGAGATATCCAGGTGGTGACTGCACTTCAGATATTTGGATTTAAGCATCTCAAAACCATTTTGGCTATGAAGAAATCAGCCTTTACAATGTAGGACAAAAACAATAATAACAATCAGTGCAACCATATGATCTACAAACAATTATTGCCATGTTTATATGGTGGGGAAGAATCAATTCAATGACTTTAAATTCAATAAAAATGAAAGAGAACTCCCAAAGGGAAAACAAGATCAACTTCAGTCAAATGAATGAAAAGTGAGAAAGAAATGAAATCACAAACCATCCTATACGAGCCCTTAATGTAACTACCTGCATTTGATGATCAAAGCTAATAAAACCCAGCATTTGACCTATGTTAATCGAATTCGGGTGAGTGGTGCATATGGTATATTTAGTTTGTTCTTTTTTTCAAAAGGACCACATATCGATATTCAAGTTCGAATATGTGTTGGACACGGATGTCAAATGCAAGTAAATTCAAGAAAATAAGAAGTCATGGCAACATAGGTTGGTTGGGGCATAGGGTTTAACAGGCAAGCCTTATAACACATAAATAAGAAACAAATAATGTTAGACTAAACCATGTGAGACCATTAACACAGAATATAGCATATGATAGGCTTGAGAGACGCCATGGATTTACCTTCAAGTTGAAGGACAATGCAGACTTAATTGTAAATTAACCTTTTCCTTATGTTCTTCACTAAAAAATACTTCAATAACTAAACAAATAGTAGAGAAAACTTACATTTTATACAATTATTGGGGGGAGAGGGGGGTTGACTTTTAACCATGAAAATCAGAACAGTTGATTCAAACATAAAACATCTTGGAAACCCAGATTTTGGCAGTAAATACTCAGTTCATCCCCCCCTAATCTAACAAGCAAGCCTCAAATGTACTGAAAACCAAAGTTAAACATGCATTTTATATATAGAAATTTCAAGGTAAGTATCTCTAAAATATACAACAACAACCCAAAAAAGATGAATAAAAAACAGCTCAAGTTTAGGTTCTAAGTTCTAACACCTTTGATCCCTCTAGCACATCTTGTAATAATCTCACATCCCCCTACTATAATGATTAGCTTCACCAGCATGACAATCATAGTAAGAAGCACCAGGCTTGTCACAAGGGACCATGTCCCTCCTCAGTGTCTCATAACTGATGTATCTTCTCTGCATCAAAAGCAGCCTCCTTTGGCTCTCAGACTTCATTTCTTCATCTCATAAACAATCTTCAACCTTCTTGGCGCAAACCCTTTTCACCATGGCATCAACCTCACTGGTTTCCAGTGCATTTTGGAGCTCCAAAACTGACACAGCAACACAAGTATGGAGGCAAAGAAGGGATAGAGAGAGAGTGGTTAAGATGAGTTTGGGAATGGCCATTTTGGGGGTGGGGTGGGGGGGTTTGATGGAGTTAGCTTGGAGTTTTGTTGTCCTGTTTTAGGGGTCTTTCATGGGGGGAGACTGGAAGTAAAGACATTTTAGGGTAGTTGGAGAGGAGATGTATAAGGACAATAAGTTGAAATTTGAAACAGAACAAGCTTCCTTGTATTTATGCCAAATTATCCCACTTTGTTTGGAAATTTAGTCATTTCTATAAATTATAAAATTAATGGAAAAAAGATATTTTTTAATCTCACGAGGTGTATTCTATTTTGTGATTTATTAGAAGGATAAAGATTATTATTTTATCTCAAGACTGGTGTAGCACAAAAACAACAACATCAAAATGTATGAGATCGATTGTTAGCTGAACATTTTAAGATAGAAACAACAGTTCTGTTTGCCAAAAATGAAAGTTCTAGGCAGAAAAAACAGTCAAGAGGAGACTTCAGTTTCGATAAAGGAAGAAAGGCAGATTGTGTCAATTTCACAAGATAAACATAGTTGCTTAGTTACTGAAACCTTGAAAACTAGACAGTACAGTAACATAACTTTACATTTTACAATTGAAGGTTTCTATCTCTCGAATTTGAGCACTTATAGTAACATGCCACTAACCAAATGGAATTCAAAAGGATTTTATTCAAACTAATTTTTCGCAGTTATATATAAAACCGAATCCTATAAATGAAGTTACTATAACTATTGCAAAGAAACAAAAGGAATGAAAAACACCTTTGTAGACTTCTCATTGGATTTCTGGAAAGACAACTTTGCTTCTCAAAGACTAAGCTGCTCAATGTTCTTAGAATTCCTTGCTAGTCCATGGGCCGACCTTCTGTCTTCCTGCTCTTCATACGGATTTGCTCGATAATTGGAACTGGCCTCTTCATTGTCAGAGGAACCTGGTCTTTCAGTAAGGAACTGTTCCCAAAATACATCATTCACTCTGGCTGGAGGAGCCACAGGCTCTTGATTTCTATTAGAACCTTCTTTTGATGAAGATAATGTAGTTTCCCCATCAATCATGTTTCTGCTGTTCTCGAAAGCTCTGGGATCAGAGTCTTTACTGTTGGAATTGGACCTTGGCTCGGAGACTTTTCCAATTTCCCAATTTAGTTGTGACATCCTAGTTAAGCTAGGACTTTTATCAACTTGCAGTGAAGAAGATGCCAGAGTTAGATTTAATTGACAGGAAATATTACTATCAGGTTCCTCGTTGGAACTTAATCTCTGTTGCAATGAATGCAAGGTTGGGCTTTCATTCATTGATACTCTTTGAGTGAATGATGAATCCATGTTGAATGTAAAAGATGTGCCCGTATCTGAAAGTTCTAATGTTTCGGGAGTGAATAAAATGCCCTCGGGTCTGATATTATCATCCTTTGGTTCACCTTGAGATATCCTTCTCTGAAGACTTTCCCCATCTTCCTTAGAACTTTGTGTGCTCTGAGAAACCAAATTAATATCCGAAACGGCTGATGTCAATTCTAGTCTTAGCTTGTTCGAGAAATCGAGGTGAACAACATTTCCAAACTCAGACGTAGAACTGCTTTTGTTGTCCAAAAGACTATGTTGTCCAACTGGCTTGGTTCGATCATTTTCAGGCAGTCTTCTTCTCTTATTATATGCAGCAACATCATCCATAGATTCAATCTTACGAACAATATGTTCGACGAAAGAAGGGTCTTGCAAAGCATTTTCTAAGAAGTTAAACAAAGTCTCCTGCCTCTGCTCCATTTGATCAGCCTGCAGTGTCAGCTCTTCCACCTGCTGCTTCAAAGCTGATCGCTCCTTTCTAGACCTCGAAATATTAGCCTCAAGTGCAGCGTTCTCACGAGA